CCCCCCCCCCCCCCCCCCCCCCACTTCATCAGCTTCCTCCTTCATTTATCACCCTAATAATCTGTTATGAAGAGAACAAACGACAAGGTCCGTTATCATGTAATTTTATTCTCCAGGCACTAACAGCTCAGCTGCGACGTTCGGTGTGATGTTTAATTGGCCTGCACGGCGAAAATGTTTTCCATGGTTCGTGATTAGTCATTCCACTCATCTGGAATTGATGTAAAACAGCGCGCCGTGCAGTATAGACTACGCGCAACTTTACACCTGTAGTGAACGTTAATACTCATCGGCGGTAACTGCAAAATTGCAGCTTCGTCACGTCAGGATAGAACGTGTGTCGTATTACGACATAAATTATGCATATATCCGTAGTAAATCTGCTTGATAAACGGTTGACTGAATTTATAAACCGTCGAAGTAATAAACGTCAGAAGTCGTGAAATTTAAGCGTTTGTTGCCCTAACATCCAAGGAAAGACATATAATTATTTAACAACATTTCAATACCTTCGTTTTCGTTTAAAAGTGTTAGTAAATATTATCTTGTGGTTATAAGACCAAAACATTTCTGACTTGTCTGTGTATTTCGCTAAAAGTCTCAGGGGTGTGTTCAACTATGGTAGGGTCATCGATCTGATAAGCACCTAGAAACTTGTCTCTAGGTGTTTCCAATACTGAGACGTCGTCCTGTCTGATTTTAACAAATGGCATTCGGCGTCAATATTCAACAAATCTGAACTCTTTTACGTTACCATGATACGTCTGCGTGCTTCTCATAAACGTCTGAGTGTATAATACAAAAATGAAACTATAATGTTTCTACAAGACTTTCTATTTCTTCAGTTAACCTAACCTGTTCATGTCACGTGTCCTTCCGGTCATCAATTACACTGTATGAATCAGTGGGCTACTGCACGGTGCGACAAACTGAGATGGAGACGGAACAGACCGTATGGCCCATCGCTTGAGTTAATGATGACGTTTCGTTTATTAATTCCGAGCATTGTTCTTCTGCTATTTCGATAGCATGGAGACTGATGCAGACTCTTTCGTTGATGACCCTTGTAATAGTAAAAGTATAGACGGAAGATAAATATTTAAGAAAAGGAGAAAAAGACTTACGTGGTTTAATTTGGTTAATTTTCCCTTCTCCTCGTAAACTACGTCAGTTCTGATATGTTACGATGTAATGGCGAGAGTGGTCGTAAAAAACAATCCGATACGAGACACATTAGAACCGCGGTAAATACCCTTACACGTGTTGGCAGATTGTTTAAAAAGCTGGTAAAAATTATGGATTCATACACTCTGTTGTAGAACAAGACGAAAAGTCACCAACTACAGAAATTTCCGAGACTATCGAAAACCATCTCCTCAACCAAAATCACAGTTCTGGTTCAATGGATAACGTTGACAGAACAACTCCACGGTTCTTAAAAATAACTAAATTCATGTTTCTACATGCGTCAACGTTACAGTCCACCGCCTTGAAAACCTCGAATCCCATAAGAGTAACGAATTTAGATTTTGATCAGGAGACCGACTGTTTGACTCAAATTCCTTCTGCGGGTCTCATTTCACACGCCCTATTTCTCTCACTGTTTAAGAAGCCAGAATGATATCACGTGAAAGAATATTGATAAGGGTGAAGGAATTAAAGTAGGGAATGATAAACAAAATAAGGGGTAGAGAAAATAAAGAGAAAAAGACGGAAATAAGAGATCAGGAGTAAAGAATGGAGGCGAAGAAGAAATGTGTGGGATGAGCAGAATTCAGGCGTAAATTCGAGAAACTCCGCCTCAAGTTCTACATGCGTGTACCGCCTCCATCGTGTTCTACGGTACACTGCGCAGTGTGCTACGTACCCCTAATCTATTCTCAACGGAGTGTAAGTAAACAAGCTACTTCTTTTCAAATGAGCCACCACGTCTCTCCCTTCTTCACAACAAATAAAAATAGCGGAACGCACTTGTTTGCTTTCATTTCAGTGATTCTTCCTAGCGACTATTTCTTTGTTTTGAAAGTGAATTGTTTCGAGAAGAGAGAATATACACAAAACGGGGTTATATTTTACATATATTAAATCGCAGTTGAAAGAGTAAAAATGACGAGAAACGTAGACTGGCACTGAAATATTTCGTACATACTGCTTATGCTTTCAGATGATGATAACATACAAATAAGTCAAGGTTTACCTTCGTTTCGCGGCTTCTAAATCCTTCATGCTTCCGTTTATGAGCCATATGGGACTCTAAATATGACTGTCTTCTGGGTTGTAACGCCGTGAAGACTGGTAGAAGTTTATCAACGTTTCAGAGGCCTTTGCTGCCTCCATCATCAGGGCGCCCTAATGATGGAGGCAGTAATGACTTATGAGACTTCTGTCAGTTTTTACCAGACTACACAACTTAATATTCCAGAAGACAGCCATCTTCATAAAATGAACTAGATTTACCCGACGACTCCAGTGTGGCTTGCTTCACGATTTCATATGTACAGTTTTGTGAGAGAATGCAAACGAGCTGACTCGGCTGTAACAAGCTTCACTCCTATTTGGAAGGTATCTGATTGGAGTCTCGGCCGCTCTTTTAAGTGTTTTTTCTCGGCTTTTCCCATTTCTTCAACGTGAATGTCGAGCTGAGCTTGCCTTATGCTATGACTGCTTCCTTTCCAATCATTTCCAGCTCAAACACCGTATTAGTCCTGTCATCTCCTTTTGAGCTAAATTATCTCTATAGCTGATGTATATTCGTTAAATAAAGTATAAACCAATAATATAATGGAATCGCGACAAAACTATCGTTTCGGTGTTGCAGGCGAGCTGCGGAGAGAAGATGGCCAACAGCCGGAAATCGTGGCTGTCAAAGTGCTGAAGGAGTCGGCTACCCGCGAGGCAGAGGAGGATTTCATGAGAGAGGTGGACATCATGAGTGCCTTCAGGCACTGCAACATTTTGTCTCTCATAGGCGTTGTCCTCAGAGGTGAAGACCTTGCTTGTTCGTACATCTCGTGTGCATTCACCTACTGAAACAACTGGCTTATGCCACATGATCTCACTGAAACAAGGAACTTCATTGAATAGAGGACTTGGCTCAACCATCTGACTTCATTCTCAGAGCTTCGCTGAAAGATCAGACTTCATACACAAATAGCTTTGCCCATTTGATAACTCTCACCTTAGAATATCTTGGAACAATTCAATCCACTTCACATTTTCACATACTTCTCTAAAATGTACTTGTACCCTTCATATAATCCTACATCTCCCAAGTTGAATCTTCTCTTGACGTTTCACAACGACAATTTTATACGCATTTATTATTCCTTCGTAGGTGCTACAGATGCTGCAAATCTTTCTTTCTTTTTTTTCCAGTCATCCTGGCAAAATTAAGTGATGAGTAGACTTAAAGTTTTAAATCTCCTCGGTACGTAAGTTTCAATTCCCCTGTTATTAAAATCTCCGATTTCGAGATTCTGTCAAATGAGTTCATGTAATTGTACATGGGTAAATCAACTGTAATGGACAGTGGAATTTTCCCCACAACAGATATAAGCTATCTTATACTGCAGCTGGTCGGTAAGTCAGTAATGTTGAAGCTTTCGAGGCGTAGTAAAATAATTTTCGGACGACTAGCCGCGTCAATTCGGAGCAAAAGTCCAACGTATCAAATACCGCCTGTCTCAGCATCAGGAAATCATACCATCATTCACTTATGTTGGAAGCAGCTGGTTTTCCGATAAAGTTTTATCACAAGTCAGTAATTTTCTAGCTAGTTTGATTCCAAAACATGGAGTTATTCATAGCATTTAATTTGTTCTAAACATAATAATTATCATATTTTTCTTATAAATAATTTCTAATCCGTTATAAACAAACTAATTATATGTTTCTAAGGAATAAATTAAAATTTAAATTCTATTGGAAACGTATTTCATCCTTGTACGAATCTACAAAAAAGTTAGTTTTTACAAAATTAATTAAGAACCTTCTTTCCACGTTTAACCGACAAAAGAAACCGCTTATCTTTGTTACAAGTTTCACACTTCAATATACATGTTCTCCTCTAGGGCCTGTAAACAACAAATAGAAAATCAATATATGGAAGAAGTTATAATTAAACGTCATATCCCTACGTGTATAAACGACGCAACGTTTCAGAACCCTGGTTTGTCAATACAAGTCCGTAAAGTCTGCAGTTTATTTTGGTTTGTCTGTACCTCGCAGCGCACATTTAACGGACAGGCGTATGACGTCCCATAATTCCTCGTCTTAAGTTTCGAAACCCTTCTGACAAACAAAGCTTATGTGTCTCACCGTCCGTCTCCCGACACAATAATGGAAGTCAATACCCTAAATTAAAGATACAAACAAAATTTTAGCCGAAAAATCTAAAGGGAAGAAACCACTTTGAAAACCTGGGTCTAGAAGGAATGATTATATTATAATAGACCTTACATAAATGTGGTTTGAGATGTTAACCGGATTAATATGGCTCGGGATAGATCTAGTGCCTGGCTTTTGTAAACACGGAGCTACTAGTTAAGCCGGGCTAGCTGAGCTACTGTTAGCTTCTGAAGAACGAAACTGGATTTCAGTGCGCAAGAACCGCGAATCCGCCTCCTCACCCGCTACAAAGCGACGAGGAAATCTTCGCAACTAGCTTGTCAATAAAATTTACCTCCCCCTTATGAAACGCGAAGGTTCATTACCTTGATACAAGAGTCTGTCTCTGATCCGTATTCTAAGCTAGATGAATCCAGTCGATGTCTTCAAATCTTATTTCTCTTAATATACATTTAATATTATCCTCCAATCTAATCCTAGATCTTTCAAGTGGTATTTCCGTATAGGGTTTTTAACTAAAATGTTGTATTCAATTCTCATTTCTCACATGCGTGCTACGCACCCCACCTATCTTATGAACTCCTCACAAATAAACTGTTCAGCTGCCACATGATAAACCGGGAAAAACTAAAATTGTCACTTCTATTTCAGTCCTATACTACACTACTTTATACAGGCAGGCCTAAATAAATCTGAATTATAAGCAATGTATTAGGTATAAGTCAACGTGAAGTTTGTGCTGTATCTTTAAATACGATTGAACTGCAGAACAAGAGGGCTTTCACCAAAATAGACCACGAGGCTGTTGTAAAACGGGCAAAGAACATATTGTTTCAATCGCTTGTGAAACTAACAAAGAGAGATGTCACAGTGATGCTCTTCACATGGAGTCTTTGTTAACACGTTGTTAGGAGTTATACTGAAACAGGAAAAATCAAAACTACGAACATTCCATTACCGGTAACACAAATCCTTGTATATGTTCGTCGCACTACTGCTGTGTCTACATTTCTTTCTGCACTGTTATCCATAAGATTAATAGTTAAGCAAAAAAATTATAAAAGGCTCCATGATTCTGCAATAGAACGTGATGTACTAATTTCAAGGAACATATTCCTACTTGAGAAGCTGATTGTCGCTCAGTTAATGAAGAACTCGAAGGTTCATTACACAACAGTTTGATGTTGGACCATATCCTGAACTACACGAAACCAATGCTTCTTCAGTGCAGGCTTTCGAGTAATTTCTTCGTTTCAGACTCATACATCAAAATGTATGTATTTTTCACCTACCATATGTGATTTATGCCCCATAAATCTTATTCTCCTTGACTGCATCGTTCTAATAATATTTTATAAAGAGCGGTGCTAACCTAACTTCTTAGCAGTGGAATTTCATCCTAACGGTTGTCTCCCGTCATAACTCGATTTCCGTTTAGGCAGGCAGGAAGAGCACAAAGAGATTAGTTAACAAATTTTACTGTCTTTATGTCTGTTATTTGCATGATTTATATGACAATGCAGACATGTTTTTTTGGGTATGTTGTATTACAGTCTATACAAAAACTAAATGCCTTCTTTTTGTCTTGCAGAGAAGTAAGTACTATAGTAGAAACATTGTTGGCGCAGTTAATCAAATACCATGTTGGTGTTACAGACGCGGGAAACAGTCCCTGGATGGTGTTCGAGTTTATGCCACACGGTGATCTGGCAGAAGTTCTCCGAAGCAACAGCCGACAGCTTTGGAAACCCGTCCCCGGTCTCGCGCCTCTTACAAAAGTACGTCAATGTATTCTTAAGAGGTGAATTTTCAGTATTAATTACTATACTGGGAGTGGGAGTCATGTTAAATAGTAGAATAGCTGAATAAAATGAAGTCAGAATGTGGAGTAGTGTACATATGCGAATTTCACTCCGAAACTGTTGAACGGTTTTCGTTTAGACTGTCATTAACAAACTACATTAATCGTCGTAAAACGAATATATGGTACGAAATAATTCATTCTTTTCGTGGTTAGTTTTGGTTTGCATAAAATGAACATCAAGACCAGTGTGGTTTACGGATTCACAAAGAAAGTATTACGGAAACACATGTAGGCCTACTTCTAATAACAGCACACAGTTTCGATTTGTGATGAGTGAATGTTGTCGTGAATAAAAAGGACAGGATCAGTTGTCAGCAGACAAATTTCGGTTTCATGTGTGCAGTTTTACACGGTCTCAGCGACCAAGAAGCACAAGGCCAACGCCTCAGACCGCGCGGCCACTGCGAACCGATTTATATACTTATCGAAAATTATGCGCAAAATAGAACACGCCCATAGTTTTACACTATGTAGGTGTAGTAATTAGCAAAAGTGCTGAATTTTGTATTTATGTGTCTTGCATGGCAATCAATGTAAAAAGAGATTATTTATTTGAACAGCATTAACCAGTTGATCTTTCTAATGCAGATGTGCATTTTTTTCTGGTGCTGACTGCATTCTTAAATATTATTTAGATGGGTTTCAACTTCAAAGAGATAATACGCACCATGTATATTTCATGAAAATTAGCTGCTGAGCAGTTGTATTTTTCCTGCACAGATAATCCAAAAACTGAATAGCACTCTTAAGAAAAATTAATTGTAATTGCTTTAACTACCTTCCACAGAAATCACAGTAGAACATATCTAATGTGCCTGTCTACTAAAGGAACAGTTTCAAATGTATTCATTCACGTTTCAGAAGTGTCTTATAGCATAAGGCAAATTATAGATTCTAAAAGGAATTGTCAGATCGAGTTCCTCTTCATTTGCTATTCATGACTGTGAACACATTATCTGATCAGTTCAACAGCACACTTCAAAACAGAAACTTTAAACAAGAATCTAATTGCTAGTAGTGAAATTTCCTTCACACCACGTGTACAAATGATTATTCAGCTATAAACTAGTATCCAGATCCTTAAATTTCTCGTTTTTTAATCAAACTTATTCTACTCCGTAGGTAATATTACAGTATTTTAGTTAAAAGTTCTTAGTTTAGGCTACGTCTTACTTAAGTTAGTTAGTTGTTTGTACAGTGTAATGGCGGCAATGCATGAGAGGAAAACAAACGACAAAATATCATTCACAGAATTTACACAGGCTGTAGGGTAACGCACTCTGTGGTGATTTCGGAAAAGAAAAATGTGTAAAGCAATTTCTTAGTTTATTACTTTTTTTGCAAAAGAGATATACAGTATCGTAAATATTACGATTTCTTTATTCACACTGGAAGTTCACTTAAAATTCTGGAAAGTTGAGATTTGTCTGTTTGTCTATGCTACAGGAGTCACTGCTGTCAGTAGCTTTGCAGATCTCGTCGGGTATGCAGTACCTGGCAGCACAGCGCTTCGTTCATCGTGACCTGGCATGCCGGAATTGTCTGGTGGGTGCAGGGCTATCCGTAAAGATTGCAGACTTTGGCATGAGCCGGGATGTTTACACATGTGACTACTATAAGGTTTGTATTCCCCACTTTCAGAGCACAGACAGACATCACAATTATCTTCATTTTGTACGGTCCCTTCAATTTTGATATTCAAGATGCAATAACTCTTGAAATATGAAAGAATATAAGCACCTCTCAAAGTTTTCTCACGTCCATAATAAGTCTTGGTATGAGCATCGTTTCTAGCTCTAGATATCAAAGTGAAATTTTATTTTGTCTCAGGTAACACAAAGCATGTATGGAATAACTGTTACTACAGCAGAATAAGATCTCTCTCACTTCTTCTTCTTCTTGTAGCCTTATAACCCTATGTGGGTCTTAGCTTGTTCGACGAGTTTTTTCCATTTTGTCCTATCATTCACAATTCTTCTCCGTCCCCTCACTCCCATCGTCCTCACATCCTCCTCCACGTCATCTATCCATCGATTCTGTGGTCTCCCTCTCATCCTTCTTCCCATCGGTCTCCATTCCATCACTCTTCTAGTTACCCTGTTTCCTTCCATTCTTGCAACATGGCCAAGCCAGGCTAACCTTTTGCTTTTGATCAGCCTCACGATATCTGCTCCCTGTATGATACAATCTAGTTCATGATTCATCCTAATTCTCCAGGAGCCATCACTATTCTGTATTGGACCATAGATTTTTCGTAATATTTTATGTTCAAATATTCTAAGTTGTTGCTCATCAGAGCTAGTTAATGTCCATGCTACTGGTCTTATCAGAAGTTTATAGATTCTCAGTTTATGTTGCCTCCCCAATATTCTAGACTTCATTAAATTCTGATAGGCATAATAACCGCTATTACCATTCACAATATGTGCTTTAATTTCATTACTTACTGAGTTTATAATATTAATCTGTGAACCCAGGTAATTAAAATTCTGCACTTGTTCAAAATTATAATGTCCTATTCCCAGTTTATTTGTGACTATTTTTGAAGATCTCTCTCACAGGTGACATAAATCAGGGACTTTCTCAGCATAGGCAATTCTTTTCACATATCTCCACTTGAAAATTAAAGTGGTTAAAAATCTAGTGTTCTTGGAGGTTAGGTTATCAGTCCGTTCTTTCCACTGATTAGAAAACCTAGGATTCAGAGCATGTTGAACCTTATGGCTGAAATGAGGAGAGATCCCTTCCTGTTGGAAAGTTTAATTTTCACTTTCAATGTCTTCAATTTGTGGGAAAGTAAACAATTGATTTAACACTTGAGACTGATTTCCACATGTATATGAGAGATTGTGTTGAATGGTTATCCACTGGATTTTCTCCTGAACATGTATGTACACATGTAAAACAGACAAGGAATTAAAACTTTGTGAGTTACTGAATATTTCATAACAAAACCCATTATTTTACATCTCAAATTAAATGAGATATTACACTTTATATCGAAGGACTTCTTTTTTATTACTGTACAGTGAAGGGGAGGTTTGAAAATTGGACTCTTAATGAAAGGAAAAAAGTTGTAACTTAGTAAGTTTCTTGCATTTAGATTCAGAAAGTAACTTTTTCTACAAAATAATGTAGTTGTCTCTTCTTACCAGTACATCTTGCTAGCCAAACCAAGCTTGTATGATATTATGTCAGTAGCACAACTGATTTGTGAATCTATGTAGTATAATATTGTGTGAATCTCTAAACATTGCTAAATTAAATCCTGCATACATTATTTTCTATAATCATGGGCTGTTAATATCATATTTCAGTCAGCTATGGCAGTATAAAACAAAAGCAATGTTAAAGTAATTGGATCTGTGGTTTTGGTTCAGATTGGCGGTTCCCGGTTGCTGCCTGTCAGATGGATGTCACCTGAAAGTGTCATGTATGGGCGGTTTACCCTAGAATCTGATGTATGGTCATATGGGGTCGTCCTCTGGGAGATATACAGTCTGGGAAAGCAACCATACTATGGCCAGTCAAATGAAGAGGTAACTTGATTCTTGCAGAGAGTTTGTGACTCACATCTTTCACTGCATAAGCAAAGTCAGGCTCACAGGTTGACATGGGTGTGTCTGAAATTGAACAGGCCTCCATTGCCATAGAGTGTGACATTTGACTTCAATCCACATAAATAATAGTCTTCTCCATTTGCTGCAACATTTGACTTCATTCACTCAGCTAAGAAAATGCATTTTTGTTGGTCTGCATGGTGCTGCCTACTTGTTTGAATCATATGAATTTGTATAAAAATGTTATATTACAGCTGAGAAAGGTACTCAACATTTTTCCTATTTTTATCTTAAAATTGTATTTCAGGAAGTGGTGAGAAAATGAGAAATGCAGTCTGCAAATGGTACTGACATCATCAAAAAGGTTTCAAAAGAATTATTTCAGAACAATGAAGCAAGCCTAATCTTATAACAAATGTTAGATTATACTTGTTTTAACAAAACAAAAAAATAATTCCTTACTTTGTGGAAAAATGTGTTTTTCATGATCTCACTTCCTTGATTGTTACTTGTTAGATCACAGGCAGAAATTTAAGATCACAGAAATGTAACACTATGGTTTGTCTGCAATATTTTCACTTGCATCCAATTTGTTGAAAAACATACAAAATGAACAACTGCATTTCATTCATATCCAAGAATACAAAATTCTGAACAGTTTTAAGGTAATCTAAACCCAATGTGTAGTTCAAATATTTTCTTTGTAGGTAGTGAAGCTTATTCTACAAGGAATTATGCTGATCCCTCCAGAGGATTGTCCTCAGGTCATTTGGGATCTCATGCGTTCCTGTTGGAAAACAGAACCTAGAGACCGAATTCGATTTGGAGACATCTATGCCCGTCTAAAGAAGGCCCAAGAAGAAGCACAGGAGTCTTCTACCAACACATCAATGCCATTACCACCTCCAATGCCATTATTTCCACCACAACCACATCAGCAGTTTGCATCACCATCATTATCATCATCATTCTCGTGTACCCTCGAATCAGATCCACTACCAAGACCTCCCAGAGTGTTCCCATTACTGAACTTGAGCACCAAAGCAGTAGAACTGTTAGACAGTGAAAACTACTTGCTGCCACAGATACCTCCTGCATCAAGGTGTGAATACTTGCAACCACTACCAGACTGATGACCCGTCATCAGCCCCACAGTGCTGTCATCTCCCACTATTCCTAGTCGAATGAAATGTCCGTGTGTGGTGTTGCAAATCAGAGTGAGATGTAAAGATATTCAGAGTTTATACTGAAGGTGTGAACTGTGCCATATCACATTTCATAAGTAATTAACTAAGTGCAACAGAGAAACGATTTTAAGTTCTTATCTTTATAAGCCACAATGAGAGCTCTCATAAACATAGTCTTTGTCTCTCAGTGCAATTTATGCTGGAAATTATGTAATAAACATGTTTATTGACTGTGTTCATCTGTGGAGTAACATCATATTCCTGGTTCACACAGCATTTTGGAAACCTGACCAGATAAAATGGGAATTGGGAAATCTGCCACCCCTCCCAATGTAAGGACAGTAAGTACTGACAATTTACTTTTTTGTATTGTCCAAGAAACAAGTAGATGTAATCTCATTTGCCAGACAGAATTTTCAATTAAATTATGTAATTTCCACCTTTTGTCGCAAAATTTGTTTATAATGGATATACATTTTGATTTTATTTGGCTTCCAGCAAAGTTGACACAATTTTCTGCTGCAAAAAGGCTGTGTGGTTCTCATTATTAAGTCTATCTCCTGATGGAACCTTGAACAGAAAATGAAGAAAACTACTGATTTCAGCTACAGATATCATCACTTTGTTTCAGGAACTAATAGTATGGATATACTTATACCATGACAACTGAAGCCATGGCCAATACTGGTATTATTATCAAAAATATTTTGTTTTTAAAGTTGTCTATTTTCGGTTTATCTTGTGACATAAGGTGAGCAATGACAGTACAGTACTGTGAAGTAAACATATTTCAACATTTAAACATGCTTCAGTCTTCTATGTTTCATGTACAGGTGGGAATAAAATTAATAAAACCCATGTCTAGTAACTAGTTGTATTTGTAAGACTACTGCAGACCATTCTAATGATATAACAATTAATTTCACTGTATAGCTCTGCTCAGCCATTAATTTTCATGACAGTGCACCTATAATAATATTTCAAATAGCTTGAAAATTTTACAAAACCTGTGCCACTTCTTCATACAGTTCTGGTCATACTGCTGGAAATACATTAAAGTTACAATTAACTTTGTTCTATGTAATGAAATGTGCCAGCACTGTATATCCATGTAATTAACATATTGATGCATTTACTAACTGTCCAACATATTCGCCATATTGCTAGTAAATATCTAAGGATAAAAATGTTTCACATTTGTGTAATTTTATTGCTGTCAACTGTTGGCCCAATAACTTTAAAAAACACACATAAATAAATAAGACAGACAAAGAAATTTAAACTACTGCCAGTATGGAAACTGCTAAGATGTTAACACATGATAAAGTACCAACATGTTACTTTATTATGCTCATACAGCTACACAGATAACAGAAAATTATGTACTATTTATGGTAACTTAAGATGGATGGATGTTAAGGAAAAGATCAGTGTTATAAAATAAACTTAGTAAGTTTTCCTATGAAGTAACACTGATATGCATATAACAAATACTGACCTTTTATTTATGTTGAAGCTTCTTTGACAATGTCACAGATTAACTGTACTTCAGTCACACAGAAAGAAAAATCATTAAGAAGCTGACAACACATGCTCAAAATTTTGTAATATAAATGAACTAACAGTTCTTCCTATAAAGAGACACTGATGTATAAGTGGCAAATATTGAACTTCCTTATGTTGGAGTTTCCTGGACAGTATGTAAAAGGACTACCAATGTCAGTAAACAACTGTACTCATACATTTGTAATATGATGTTGCAAGTTCATTAAAGATATATTGTCAGAGGTTTTGGAAATTTGAGAATATATAGAACAATTCTCTTTCCAGTATTTTGCCTAAACACATAATCCATGATTCTGTGCCAGAATTCACTACCCTCAGACTTAAATGCATCAAACATCTCTGCATGAATGACTGTTTAATAAAAACTAACAAATTGTCTATGTCACTTGATGTTACAATTATTGTTTCATGTAAAACTTCATTTAAAGAATACTTGAGTCACTACTGATGTTTGTGTTTTATTTTGGTTGGTAATTTATGAATAATGGACATGAAAATAGACACAAATGTATCACAGATATTTTGGATTGAAATTCCAGGAATAAAGATGATTAAATATGTATGAATTTAGCCAAACTGCTTAATTTTTGGCCTATAAACAAACATCAATTTTTGTCCCCTCCCAAAATGCTCAAAAGAAGTGAAGGGTGTATTCCCATACTTCTTTAATATGAATGTAAAAAAAAGTCCAGCATATATGTGTGTGCGCACACACATGTATATTGCTAAACAGAAAACAAGGGCACTCACTTCCTCTTAAAATTGAAGTAACTTTCCTGCCCTCCTCTTCCAATAATTACAAAATTTAAAAGACTCTATTTCACACAATACTGTGCCTGTTTATTAAAAGAGTACAAAAATATGTTGCTCAAAAATAAGCACAAAAGAATGCAGCCAAGACTAAAGTTGTTTGCCTCAAAGAGATTACAGAAATGGAGGTGACAACCCAAAAAAACTGTTCTGGGTTCAAGTTCCAATAAAGATGGTTTCTACAGCTCAGAAATTAAGCATAATAAAAGAACAGTGCAAAGAACAAAACTAACAAAACTGTTTTGTGAGCAGATTAAAGGTACCAAGGTAAAAAACCTGAACTATCCTGGGTTTGAGTCTCAGTGAAGAAAATTGGTATAACACTGAAGATAATGATATTCAATGATATGTACTGAATGTTTAGGCTGAAGGTAAGCTTTTAGGCAATATATATTGATGAGAAATATAAGCATCTGTTGAATTTCCCAACAATAACACTGCAGACACTCTGCCAGTTTGATAATAAAACCACATATATACACACATTACTATAACTTTCAGCACTGAAGAAATTCATGAATACATAACTTCTGTCACACCAATTTCCCATCAGTAGTTCTCACCACATTCTAATAGCTTTGTGACACTCATTAGTAACAAAAATTGCTGAGATTGGGTGCTAAAATCAATGGTTTTATTCACCTTGCTGTAGTGTTTTAACCACCTCATTTCAGAAATCAATATTATAGATTCAAGATATAAGGGCTCATCTTCTCAGGAAATATTTATTTTCATAACTTGGACTTTTATAGAAGTACACTAATAAAAGGAAATTTGTAACACCAAAGTCTGATGTATAAAGACTACAGTACAATAAAATAATAACTAATATACATGTCATTACAATAGAAAACTTGTATGTCAATTTATTATATATATATATATAATAAAACATGTAAAAGTAAATGAATGTGATATTAGTCATATGTTAATTTTATTGATCACTTCCTTGATCTTAATTTTAAAAAGACAAGCAAGGCATCTTTTAAATTATATTTATTCATTATCACTGAAATGAATACATCAAAGATGTGTTACAGAAATTATTAAAAAATACTGTCATCAGAAGACACACCACACTTTGACAGTGAGGAACACAAATTTGCCATTCTGAATACATTGCAGGAGTCATGTTAACTCCTCACCGCCGAGAGGCGTAAAATTACGCCCGGCATTTAAATGCTCGGGATTGCGGCTGGGCGTAATATTACGCCCGGCTTTAAGCCTAATTTCTTCAGCTCATAACTTTGTAATGATTAATGCCAGCGCAATGAGGTTTGTAGCATTCCGTTGTGGAAAGTTTTCTGTGTGTGAAGATCCGGCAACCTTGTTGACAAACCCTTGAACGACTACCTGGGAGTCTAAAAATAGACGACTGGCCTCAGTTTTACAATGGAGAACCCTTCAAGCAGTCGTGTGTTATTTGATGCTGAACAAAGGGCACTTCTAGACGAATTATTGGAAGTGACAATTATAGTAGCTCGGACACTGAGAGTGTAGACGTTGAATATACACAGTTGGTGACACCGGCAACGTTAGCGATTAGTGATAATGAGAGTGACAATAGTGGTGGCGAAAGCCAGGAAGAAATTGTAGAAGCAAATTCAGGTATTGTTTCCGGCAAGTATATGTGGGAAAATATAGACTCATTTACTGCTTCAAGAGAAGCATTTTGTAATGTATATGGTCCTCGGTTCGACACGGCTGGACTAGATGTCGTGAGTTCATTCGAAATCATTTTCGATACAGCTCTTGTGCAGCTCATTGTAGATGAAACCAACAGATATGCTAAGCAAGAAATTTCTAAAAGTGCCCATCCTCTCACATTTCGATCTAGGATTAGGAAGTGGCAAGATGTCACAGTAGACGAAATTTACGTGGTTTTGGCTCTATTTATGTTGATGGGCATTGTTCAAAAGCCTACAATCAGATCTTATTATGCAAAGAACCGGCTGCTGTACACTCCGTTCTCAACTTCTGATCCATTTGCTCCCATTGGTCACACACAGAGAGCTCATCTTATAAGGTAAGATTACAAAACCATCTTTTAAGAGGATTTCAGTGAAAAATTCATAATTATATCTCATATAGTTCAAAAGTTATGGAAAAAAACGTATTTTACAGCAAAATTTAAACGGGCATTTAAAAATTACTACCGCCGGAACAGCACAACAGCGGTATATGCTGGGTATTTAAAATTCCGCGTCAACAGGTTAAGGAAGAAACTGGTCTCCATCTCCTGAAACATTACCATCCAAAACGTATATATCTCTCCAGTTTGGATAGCCATAAAATGATAAGCCTTCATGCAAGATTCAAAATTCAACCTGCAAAACAAGTTAGCCACACAAGAACCAGGTGACATGCAATGTGCACAGAGTAAAGAGAACTGTATCACAACAATTATGAAAATAAACAACCAAACAATACCCGAACTTTGGCTATTCCAACAGCGGGACAGATGAATTAATTATGATTCATGTACTAATTACATTATAACATTTTCTGTACAAGGAGACAAAATTTAATTTTCTGAAGAACTGCATAGAAAACTTAATTTCACAAAGTTCTAATACATCGTAATTTTGTCTATAAAACATGCATACAAACAAAACTGTTTACACTTTGAAGGAAACACTAATGCCATTAATACATTAGTGTCCTTCAAAGTGTAAACAGTTTTGTTTGTATGCACGTTTTACATTTCAATACACTACATGGTATGCAGGGTTTTAAGATAATTTTGTCTCTTTTGCCACCAACCAATGAAAGAAAATAAGATACCATACTGTCATTGGTAATCAGGAATCATGTGCAACATCTGAATGTAAGGAGCATGACTAATTTTTGCTATAAAACTCAGTTTTATCTGCTATACTATAGATGTGTAACTTTTCCAAAGAACAATTTGAAGGCAATGAATCAATAAATACCATAGAAGTTCACAACTTTTAAGAGCCTTACCATACACTTAGGTCTTAATTTATTTGGCTTGGAATCACAGGGAATAAACAGTGATACCATTTGACACTGGACCAATAGGATGTTTAAAATCAGCGGAATGTTGCAACACCCCACCGCAGGGGTATGTTCTTAACCAAACTGGAAAGTAAATCCAGTAGGAAATGGGCCATTTGCGAAGTTGAACTGACTTCCGCCAGGTTCAGAAAAAAATGCTTGGAATACACTGTTTGGATCAATGTCACCTGCAAAAAGAAAATCATACACATGGATCTATACAGAGGCCTCTAATACAGCCTTTCTGACATGAATATATGAGACCAAACTACTAAGTTTATATAGATGAAATTATCTCATGAACAAAGTAACTGGGAAGTGGGAAACACACACACACCTGGTATTTTATAAATGTAGAGTGATATGTTTACATTCTTACACATAATTTTATTGTACACACCATTTTATAAAATGTTCTATTTTGAGATTCCTACTGCAGCTCATTCAAAATAATGCAAAGTTTTTCAAGTTTTTTTAATAGAGCGGCTTTATATAAAGCTCAAAATCAACTTCGCATTCAGTACCTTACACTTCGTGGACTAAACTAAATTAGGAAGAAAATTTAAATCTGGCAAAAATATAAACCTAACAAACAAAAATTTCAAAATATCACATTCCATACAACCAAGTCAATAAATTTAAAAATTAAAATGGCATCTTCATATGAGAGTTCTTATATAAACAAACAATTTAATTCCATGTGCACCAAACTCCAAAATTACTACTAAATGAATCCTCAGTACACATTTTAATTGAATATTACTTACCAGTCATGCCTTCCATATCTTCCAGATCTTGACCATTGTCATAACGTGCTCTCTTCTTAGGATCAGACAGTATTCCATATGCTTCCCCAACTTCCTTGAACTTCTTCTCCTGTTCTTTCTTTTCTCCATCGGATGCATTTGCATGACGGTCTGAAATCATCATAATACATAAAGTCAAACAGTATAACAGATTTTATTTCTTACAATGATACACAGTTTTCTGGTAGAATACAAAGTTTAATTAACTTAAAGTGAAATAAATCATGTAAACAAAGCCATTACAGCCTTTATTTGGCTGAATGTTGTATCAATGAATGCAGGACACTACGATTGGAAGCCTGGAACTTCTACGTAAATTTCCATAAGAACAAGGAATAACAGATAAATCATCTGTTTTTCTACATAATCACCAAAGCAATCTGATATCTGTTCCTGCAAGTTTGCCTAAAACTTCTACTGTTAAGTTCACATTCATTATAATACATTTAAAACAGCAGTAAAATGTCACAATGTATAATTACATGAAGTTAGAAGACCAAACTGATATGATAGAAAAATACATTACAAACTAACCAGGATGATGAACAAGAGCCCTTTTTCTGTAAGCTTTCTTAATTTCATCTGTTGAAGCATTCTTGTTGACTCCTAAAATCTTGTAATAATCCTTGCGTTTTGATTTTTTTAAAGCCAGTTTTGCCTCTTGCAGAAGTCTTTTGTTCTCTGTAAAGATAGAAAATATATCAGGACTAGAAATAAATGTATAAATAAAAACACAATACAGCTTACTGAAAGGATAAGAACATGCGGAATCCATACGTTACCTCGACTTTTATCCATTTTGAGTGCTTTTTCATAATCTCTTACAGCTTCATCAAAATCACACAGCTCCATATAACAATTTGCTCTCCGCAATAATGCTTTAAGGTAATTTTCATCCAACTCCAAAGCACATGAGCAGTCAGCCACTGCTTCATTAAGGCGACCGAGCTGAACACAATAAATAACAGATTATAGATCACTACAAAATATAACTTTCATCAATAGTTCCACTATTTCAAATACTACCTTTGAACAAACTGTTGCTCTGTTGAAAAATAATTTGGCATTTGTCAACTTATTATGTGGATCTATCTTCAATGCTTCAGTATAGAGGTTGTAGGCTTCACTGAATCTGCCCGCTTTGAAGACTTCGTTGCCTTCTTCCTTCTTCTGTTTCAACACTTTTGCTCGCTGAAATATGTAAACACCAGGCATGTTTCTAATACTATGAAGTATGATTTAAAGACACATAAATTACATTATCTCAAAATGTGATACTATTAATGAAGAAATTACAGAACACATAATGACAGAATATTTTTTAGTAATCTCCTATGTGAAAGCTGTAACTTTTCAGAACAAAAAACTCACATTCTAGGTAGAATATCTAGTGCTGTCATTCATGTATATCTATAAAAGAACCACCAGATCAAGAGTATGGTCTAGTAGTTAGTATACTAGCCTATTATTCAGGTCTTTGGTTCAATTCCAATCACCACCAATGATCTTAAAGAAAATAGCAATAAAATATATGTCATTATAATGACACTTGAAAATGGGAGTAGAGAAAATTTTCCAAACATCATACATCAAACACACCCCTGATAATAAAAAATGCCCAACAAAAAAATTGGTACAATGAATCAACCAAAGAGAATCATTAGTTATAAAATCTGTGTAGTTAGTTAAAGCACTAAAGTAACTTAAAAATTAACAATATTTAGACATCTGATAAATAGGTTTCACTGTTTGTTGTTGTTTTTTTTTTTATCTTAACTGCGTCATGTTTGTGTTTAATCAATATAATAATTCATTCACCGTCCATACACAAACTTAAAATGTTGTTAAAATTTACTTAAAATTACAACATTTTTTAGAATTAGATCTTGATACATTTCACATTTGACGACATGTTTCGGTGTATTACACCATCATCAGGTCAATCAATTTAAAAACTGTTTTAAAAGCTGTTGTACATCCTGCTCCGCGTATATTGATACGTTTGACTGTTTGGATTTTCTTCCTTTTAATGCTTGGATGTTTATATCGGGTTGCCGGAAGGCAAAGGCGTGTAAGCTGAAGCCCCGGCGAGTAGGAGGGCGCGGCGGTGTGCGCGGAAGGGTCAGGGCGCGAGCCCGCCTGGAGCCGCCGCCGGTGCAGATCTTGGTGGTAGTAGCATTATGTAGTATTATGAGGCTGTAGATTGTAACAAGTTAAAACGTATCAATATACGCGGAGCAGGATGTGCAACAGTTTTTAAAACAGTTTTTAAATTGATTGACCTGATGATGGTGTAATACACCGAAACATGTCGTCAAATGTGAAATGTATCAAGATCTAATTCTAAAAAATGTTGTAATTTTATGTAATTTTAAGTAAATTTTAACAACATTTTAAGTTTGTGTATGGACGGTGAATGAATTATTATATAGGTTTCACTGTGTCTTTCACATAACATTTTACAAAAGAAAAACCAACTAGATGGCTTACCGAACCCAAAGGTTCATCACCGAATTAACCAAAGCCCTCCACCGGACCTTGTCAAAAAAGAATAACAGCAAGAAAAAATTAAGCATACCTTGTAAATGTCCAGTGCCTTATGATGGTCTGGCGCAAGTCGTAAAACATGTTGGAAGTGGCTGAAGGCTCGTTCCACATTGTCCTCGTAATATAAACACATTCCACGCACATAAACTGCATCTGCATTCTGTTTGTCATTATTAAGAATGTCACTGAAACCAAATAAAGCACAACATACCAACACTATACTGATTAGCAAAGATATGTAAACACTGTAATTCTTGAACATACGTTAACTTGATTCAAACCAAATTTCTACAAGGAAGACATTCCTCTGCACCAAAGACTAAAATGTGTGTATTATATAAACTCACATGTCCTTACGTGGTTTCCACATAAAGTAAAATGCAAATCACATTTACATATAATAAGACTGTTTAGGAAGAAACACAATAATTAAACTACACTCATGTCTACACAACCTTCTCTTTCTTGGAATTACATACAGTATTCCATGTCACTGTACTCTTCAGATTCAGAAGTAAAAGTACCATCAGATAAAAACGATATAGTTAAGAATGATAGTAACTACTTTTATTGCTCATTACATACAAAATTCTGAACTTCAGTCATTTATATTCCTTTAGGTACATTAAGGTGAATTAACAAAGCTGGATCTATTCTAGTATTCCAGCTTTAAATTTAACATAAAACTAACAACTTACTTGGCAATTTCTTGTGCTTCCTGATACCTTCCAAGGAACGCTAAACACTCAGCTTTCTTAAGTTTGAATCTGGTACACGGAACCTGCTCAAGGATCCGATCCATACAAAATACAACCTGCAGACAAACATTAATTTCAGTACCAAGCAGCACTGTAGCAAGATGCATATCATATTTACCTAAAATATGAATCTTCTTCCTAACTTAGCATCTCAAAAAAGGGGTAAAGATTATAAATGCAAACAGTAACATAATAAAAAGTTCTCAGCACTTTACTTTTGTACAAGTAGACACCTCTTATCCACAGCACAAGCAGGTGTTCGTATTCAACTGTATTAAGTATCTGAGACTTAATGTTACAGCCGAGTGGTTAGCATTCTCCCCCCATATTAACGAGGTCCTCGACTCAAATCTAGGCCTGGAGACTAGCTATTCTGAGGTTTATTTCATGGCTTTCTTCAGTATTTCCAGGAAAATGCTTGGCTAGTACCTTCAATTAGACCATGACCACTTCCTTCCATATCCTTTCCAAAGAATTATTAATAAATCAACATATCAACTGACACTATACTCTGAGCTGCTGACGACATTGTTGAATAAACTACGAATAAGACTGTGTTTCTTATTAAAATCAATGATCCACCCACTAGATGCATTAAAATTACCAATCTCTGATATTTTGGCGATATGCTATGCTTTCTCCCAAAAGACAAATGAATTTACTCAGAGACTAGATGATTTGATGTTTATAAATTATCCTTTCACAATCTCTTCCAGGTCTTCAAGCTCAGATTTTTTAGGTTTTTCATTTTTTTACAATTGGTCCACAGTGATTTTCAAAACAGAGGAAACTGAAATTAAACGTATTTTGCAGGAACTAAAACCACTGAAATGGTAGGAAAATTAACGTGGTAAAAAAACTGAATTGCAGGTAAATACACATTCTGAGAATGTAAGTGTATAGCTTTATTGCAATTAATTACCTTTCTGTAGTCCTGTTTCTGGAAAGCCTTGTTTCCTTCCTCCTCAAACCTCCTAACAACCTCCAGTTTCTGAACCTCTGGTTGTATAGCTGTGTTATCTGGACTAAGTTCTTTTACAGTAGAAATTGCATTACCTGCTGCTGACAAATCACCCAAAGTCAAGCTACATTTTGCAATTCGGATGTATCCCTGAAACAAATATACGTAACTGAACAACCCTACATGAAATGAACTGATAACATTTGTATAATTGGCCAGGACAGTAAAATCTACATGCAGAAAAACTCAGAGAATTTTATAGTCCATATTCTGGGATTTGGAAATTCTTTATTTAAAGGTTCAGTATTATATTTCACAAGGGTATTGGGTTTCCTCTACTATATGTATTACCAATGCTACAAAGATGTTCATAAATACAAATCTGTTACATTCTGAATACACTCTAACCAACATACCACAATATTCAATAATATGCACTGAAATGGTTAATGAAAACTATCCTTGTCACATCAATAATGCAAATCTGAAAGGATTTAATTTGAGAAAATAAGACACAGGAAATGTACATAAAGGCTAAAACAAACTGTAGCACTAGTATACCTTTACAAAGCTTCTATCAAGAGCTACTGCTTTTCTAGCATCCTCCAGAGCATCCTTATACTGATGGAGCATCATGTAGCAAGCAGAACGATTTCCATAATACGCTGATGAGTCAGGACACAGCTCTGAAACAGTTTCCTAATAACATCAGAGTTTGTTGCAGTAAAGTTAATATTTATTTATGGTAATTGTTCAAGACAACACAAAACACTAATCAGAAAACAGATGGCTGAAAGATGTATACATACAAACAAGAAGTGAAAATGTATGCTTATGTAATGTTTAATGTAGTCTGCTGTTATGCAACAACCGGGTAGCATCTACCTCTATAATAAGCAAGTATTGGCTGGTAGCATGTTTAGTTGGTCGATGAACATTTACTGTTATGGGATTCTGGGACTTACATATTACCCACATATAAATTGTCATATACTATGCATGAAAGCTGCAATACAGCATATAACCAACTCCATGGAGCACAGACCTTCCTGAGAAGCTAATAACTGCTAGACTGATCAACCAAAAAGTACATTACAATGTTCACACGAGCCTGCCACTAATCCTCAGCCAGATGAATCCAGTCCACTCCCTCATATCCTATTACTTCAATATATCCTCTCATTTAGGCTTAGATTTCCCAAACTTATTATTACAAATTAAACAAAAAAAATTTCCAAGGAAGTTCTTCACATAACCTGCAGCTAATAAAATGTAGGCAAGGTCCTATTGTTATATATGGCGATATAAACATATTTATATCATTGTAGGATTTGAGGTTTTCACAGTGATGAGTATGAAGATTTCTGTCTTCTGGGTTGTTGCTGCTGCTGTGTTATACAGTAAAACATTTAATTTAAAAAAAACCCACTTTTGGTGGTTCACAGAATTTACCACGGGTTGGAATATAAAATTTGTTGGGATTAAACCAATCAAAGGGAATAAACAACTAGTCATAAAAACGCACATAAGTAATAAAATTATAAATGACATGTTGTATAACAGATACCAATGGCTTCTGTATAGAATGGAATTGCTTGTTGATATTTCTTAGTTTTGTACAGATGATTTCCACTTTCCTTCTTCAGCTCTGCCAGTCTGAAATAAAAGAACAGAGATGTAATCCTATCTGATTATACAAGCCATGATTACTATAATATATGTACATTTCTTCATAATAAAAGGTTAAGATGCCTCTGTGTTCAAATGCAACGCCAAAGAAACATTAAGATAAATGGGGCATAAGGGAACATTCCCTGCATTCTAGGCACCAGTACTAGGTTACTGGATTCATCTGACTCAGGATGTCCAGTTGCAAGCCTCTGAGTTCTGTAAAGGAAGGGGAATTTCATCATAAGCAGCTAGGCAACTTAAGTAATCTCAAAACTGCTCCATAGTTACTCTTCAGTGAACTAAAGTCTGTAAAGCCATCATGTTGGTGCTCTTATAAAAGAGAGTTAAAAGTATAATAATGCAATGGTATGCATCCATGTCAAATTTCACAGTCATTTAGTTTCTAAATATTAATGTCTAAAACTGATCAAAGACAAATGGAAGGACAAATATTCAAAGCTCATTTACAGGGTTCTAAATAAAGAAATCCAGTACTTTGAAACCTTATTCTATGACTTTATTTTCAGGAAAAGAATGTTACATTTTTTGTGTTTATCGAGTAATTTTAAGAAAAGTGTATGAGCTTGAAAAGTTTACCTAGTATTTAGGTGACTGGCATTTTAAACTTTTTTATTATGCTCCTCCTTGGAAGACATTTTTGAAACCCTTCTTCTGAAATTAAAGAGTCCAAAACAGCCCACCAATAAAGGTTGCTGATTCAGGAGTCAATATATGCAGTGTGCAATTTATCATATTGGTAAAGGTAGAGTTGTCTGTGCCTACACAAGAAACACAAGATGAAGTGACACACATTATAGACTTATGCATCACATAGAAGTGGCAAGTTTCATTGCCCAACTTCTTTACCACCTGGGAAAGAGCACCACTGCCTACTGAACAGGAAGGCAAATTCAGACAGATGCTGTACTGGTGAGAAAAATCCATGTCCCAGGTAGGAACTGATCTTTCAAAATTATTTTATATCTGCAACTTTAAGTTTAAGCTTGAATTTCTGCGGGAATTTTTGAGGCAAAAGCAGTCCACTGGAAAAAGAACAGCATGTATTTTGTGTGGCAAATATTTTAAAAAAAATGGATTCAATGTCAGAACTAAAAAGGAGGGTGTAGCTGTAGACAATGGGGATTATATTTGTGACATGTTTTAAATTCACAGCCCACTTTCTCTTTTATTCCTTCAATGAAATACATTATTATTGCAATTATTCTTATGTCCTCTCATATTCAAAATACAAGAAAATCTGAAAACACACATAAGTTTCTGTTCTGCCCAATTTTTCATTAATTCACTTACTATCAGTGCCAGTTCCTACAGTGTAGAATATAAGAGATAGTCTAATTTTGTATTTACATGTTTTTTCTTAATAATGTGGTTCATATCTGCTTGTAATTTCTGAAAACTGGGACTAATTTCTAAAATATATATAAAAAAAATCAATTAATACATCACTTTAACATGCACTAGGAGGCAAAATCTTCACTGACAAAAACTGAAAGCTACATTTACACTACAAACTATTAATCTCGAAAACCAAAGCCCCATACAGAGTTATGTCAATATCACAATACAAACAGTTCTGTAATTGGTATTAACCACCTCTCTTTCTACTCTAGTTTCCGTTTTATGGGGGTCCATTATCTTTCTGGCATAGTAAGTGTAACATTTCTGTTATATGAACTACCTGTTTCAATTAATGTATTAAATGTTAATAGCAATTCCGAGTTTCCGAATCTTTACTCATTGTTCAGTAGTCCGGCAACCATACTTCAATCAGCTGACAAAAATCGCTCTCGTATTTATGATCCATAATGATGGTCAATAATGAAATACAAAGCAATGTACAAAACTCACTCTTCCCCACTTGCGGTGATAATTTCGCCAACATTTTCGGTGACTTCCATATCAAGTTCAATGACTGGATCAGCCATGTTTGCATGTAAGGATCGCCAGCTAGATTAGAATGGTTATACGTATTAAGAACCGTCTTAAAAGTGTGTTACCCCTAATTCTACTGCTGCCACCTATGTACCGTTCACGTGTAAACTTCACTGGCACATTTCTGGCGTAAGCAGTAGCGCAGTCGGTGGGAAGGTTTATTTCCCCTTAATGAAGAGCGAGTCTCATAGAATATTGCCGTTCATTTATCCAATAAGAGAAATGCAGAGATTTCGGTAATGGCTGGTCATAGAGTGTAAGACGAACTGGTTAAGTGATTGTTTACGTAGTACGAGGTACTTCTTATTTAACTATTGCTTTAAATTAATGTCATATTGCCGTGATTCGTAGGATTTAATATGCAGAATTGGTATTGCGTTATTACGTCTGTGTATGCTGATTGTTACAAATTTACTTTGACCGATCTGTAGTATTACCATCCTGCCGGTAGGTCAAGTAGTGGGAAATTTTCTTATAGTAGGCGTAGGCTTCATCTCAAGATAAATTTTCTCTTCGTCGTGTCTTGTAAACTGTCATGTTCATCTGACTTTCAGGGACTTTCGCCTGTAAGGAAAATGCTTTGGGTAACAGCATATATGACAGTGCTGTATCCAGATGCCAAAGTGTCCGTCCTTTCAATTAAGTCATTTATTGTACGGCATTGTCAAGTGTTTAATTGTACTAGTGGTTTAAAATAAGTTGCGGGACACTGGAGATCTCCCATGTGTAGTTATTTTAGCACACTTCTGGGACCAAGCTAACAACAATAATGGGTAACAAAAATAGCTGCTGTGCGCATTCGAGCCCTCCACCAGGCCGTAAAGATATGCCACACTTTGAAGAGTACTTACCTAAGGAACAAGAGAGTGTTGGCAATTTACAACATATTAGTGAACGAGAACCAGAAGATTGGGATGCAGATCCATCACTGCATCCAAAAGCAGGGACCATCTTTATGGAGAGGTCTAAAGTTTCATTAGAGAGTGAGTATCATTATGTAGATCACTGATATTATGTTATTTCTTTAATGTCTTCTGCTTGAATCTATTGAATTGATTGCCCCCTTATATCTTCCAGATGGATTGGTGAGGAAGAGGAGCCAGAATCACGTATGTAATATATGAATTCAGACTTTCTGGGGAAACTCAACAGACAGCAAAAAAGTATTTAACATTCAAAAGAAAAGTATTATAATAATGCCAGGCATTAAATTAGAGCCTCATGTAGGGAATTGTTTAAGAAGTGTAATATTCTTCCACTAGCCAGCGAATTCTTGCTCTCATTATTACCATTTGTAGCGGACAACAGAAAAATTTTAAATAAACTCTAATATAAACAATGTAAGTATGATACAGATATAACCTTCATGTGCCAAACACTAAACACGGTAAATATCAAAAAGGAATTTACTGGAATTAAGTTGTTCAATAATTTCACCCCCTACCACACTCTGAAACGTCAGAATCACAATATAAAGAAGTTAAATCAAAATTATCTGCTAAATCACTCCTACTCCATAAAATCCTTTATATCAACCAGATTACAAATACTTGTAAGCAATAGTGGTTATTCTTTCTTGTAATGAATTCATGCTATGATGTGTTCTACATCTTGGCTTGGGCCTATGAAGGGTCCATGGCTTGTAAATAAAGTCTGTTCTGTTCTATTTAAAATAATTATAGAATGATATAACACTTCATTTTAGTCTCTGTGACATGTTACCTTGTAAACAGCATGTGTTTTATTGTCTTTCCATCAGTGAACCCTGTTATAAAAATTGACAGTGGAACCACGGTTCCGGAGAATCTGACGTAAATACGTCTTTGTATTTAAATTATATTTAGGCAATAAATACAATGAAAGGAAGTTTATATATTAGCTTTATCCTAAATATTCCCTTTATACATGCTTTACAATTGAGTAAATAGTTTGATTAAGACATTACGTACTTAACTTGAATTAGTTACACTTAAGATGGGTCTGTGGTAGCTGAAATATGTTATAAAATGTGTACACTTTAGAGTATCAACATTTCATGCAAACACCATATCTGTACAAGATTTTGATCTAGTAGTACTACATTGAGGATTTGACATCAGCATTAAGCCAAACGTTTCCTCCATAAATGTGACAAAGCTTTGATTTTCCTCCTCCTTTAAATCAATGTTAAAATCTGCTGCCAATATTATGGGCATTGTATTACAGCCTTCTGTAGCCATAATTGAAAACATCTCTGTAAATCTGGGAGCAAACGTTCCCAAATGACTCAAAACAAATCTCTTACAATCATCAATAGGTGCGTTATTAGAAATATACAGAGTAACAATTAAAACTTTTTCACCATTGACTATACACACTGCCGCACAAATATCACCTCTCTTTCAGCTGCAGCTATTCTGTAATCTGCTCCATCCTCCTTAGGTAACTTCATTAACAGATATGGGGTAGCCATGGTAGTTGCTCCATAGCCACTCCGCCTACTCTTTGTTCGTCTCCCATAAATTGCGTGATGCATTTATAACGTTCCAAATTTACAGTTTCATTGTTGTGCATCCACGTTTCGGTGAGCGCCAGGATATCGGTATCAGTTATCACTGTATTCGTTGCTATGTCTTGCACATGAGTTTTTAAACTCTGTGCGTTTAGAGTAGTCATTTTTAGATCACGAATACCAGCACTTTATCTTTGGGTTATTTGTTCCCTTGGCATGATAAAACACAAAGTCGTTGTTTCTGCTTGTGATGTACAAACCGTCCAACGATGTAACGTGAGAAAGGGCAACGTACACCCACTGATGATCTAGACTCTTGTTGTAGTTGAATACAATTTGATAAGTAGATTTGTGAATCAAGTTTCTCTTTATATGGACGTTAAAACTGTAATCATCATCCAATTCTCTAGGTAGTAGCGTTACCATATTATTACTTGTCCCACTATCCCAAATCCACTCATTTGATGTCTTAACCTCCTAATTTGCCTAAATGGAAGTCTAGGGGATATTAATCTTTTGCTTATGCAATCTAGAGGAGGAAAATCAATGGGGTATAGTGGATACACAAATCCATTACTCCTAGATAATATAGGTATTTGCTGCTTATTTAAAGATAGCCAGCATGTTGTGCATACTTTAAATTGGGATACATTTTCATTTACAAACTCCGTACTTAATATATCTAAATGGCTATCAGTAACTTGTTTCAAATCTTTTTCAAACCATAACCGATCACATACATTGCAAGCGTAGCCAAATCTATTTTGATTAAAATGCTTATGAAAATATTCTGTTGCATTGTCATACCTTGGTTGTGCGATTCTTGTAGGAACGCTTGTACTTGCTAATGATGTGGAAGCATTAACTTGCAATGATTGCTTCTTGCGATTTGTATATCCCCTCATACATACAGCATCAGTTTTTGGTTTTTTGGGGGGAACTTCAGGTTTATTATTTAATACTGCTATTTTTTTACGTTTTCTGTACGGTCTCCTATATTCTGCATTACCGAGTCTTTTAGCTACAATGTCATTCATCTTGTTATCTCTACATAGTATGACGCAACACACAAACGCAGCAACAGATTTCTTAATAATTCTTATAAGATAAGTATATTCTAAAACGTTTTTAACAGCACAGTATTATCTACTCTACGACGCACTTCTTCTACAAGCGATTCACAGCTCAGCTCTTTCCGCAATAACGAAAGCGGATTGTTGACAGCAGTAATAAAACACAACAATGCTGAATAAACAGATGACATAACAATTAGTTTCTTAGGTAAAGGAGTGGATTGCAATACGGTTTATTCAGGCAATTATACAGCATGCATAATAAATGAGAAAAGAGCCGTATGGCATGCTCAGCCAATATTGTTGAAGGCGTGTGTTAGAAATTCAAATCCTTTTTGTTGTATTGTTATGCACGCAGGAGTTCATATAAAAGCTGACATCTTCGTAACGCTGTTAATGCCGAATGACCCTTCCGTATAGACGTACTTACTTGAGACTAAGATAGATGCAACTAAATCCTACCATTTTGTAATGATGTAGGTAATTGAGGCTGATATTTCATATGATGCCTTTGCATCTTGGAATAGTGTGCACATTGCATCTTGTGACAAGCTTTTGTTATTGTATAAGTTAAAATATTCTGAACAGAATCAACATCAGATACAATCAAGTTACATTTTCGTAATGCAATGTTTAGCTTTGCCAATAGGCCTCAGAGAAATCAGTGTGAAACAATATTAGGTGAGATTTCAGGTTCTCATGGCAACATATATAAAGGTGACAGTATTCTGGGATTTTGTGCTTTTTAGTCTGATATAGTGCATAATCCAAGTCATCTTGAAAAAATATTGTTTGTTTTAGATACAGTAGTACCCATTTCAGTGTATAACATTTTACTGCCTTAGGTGCAATTGAGAATAGTTTATAGATAAAAGTAATTATTTTGTTATTGAGAATAATTGGAATGTTAGAAAGAGCTGGGACTTGGAGCAAGGGATGTGTGGAAACTAATTTATATGGGTAGGTATACATGTAATTTTGAATGGAATAGTTTTTGGAAGAAAGCCTGTTAATATTTATCAGTTTAAACATTGCTCCCAGCCTCAAATCTGATGTCTATATTTTGATGTGATCTTATTTATATGGACCTATTTTATATTAGAACACCAGGACATTCTGCTCAAATTTATTTATACATTTTATGTCTAGCATAGTATATATTAGAAGTGGAGTAATGTACACTTTATTTTATAGCTTGTAGATGTGCGCCCATTGAAGAAAAGTAGCTCATGTTCGACAATCTACTTGGATGACAGTACTGTTTCACAACCAAATTTGAAGAATACTGTTAAGTGTGTAGCACTTGCAATTTATTACCACATTAAAAATCGAACTTCACATCGACAACTTGAAATATTTGATGAGAAGCTTCATCCACTGACGGTAGGAGATTAATAATAATCAGTTTAAATGAATGTGTAGCATTTTATATTTACTACTACATTATAAATTTGACTTGAAGTCAAAACTTAATATCTTTTATTAAAAGTTTCATCTTCTAATGGAAAGAAATATATTAATCGTGATCTGTTCAATTATTCTTGTATGTAGTTGTCTTCTTGTGTATTATGTTCATATATATTAGTTTGTGACTAACTTATAATTATAAACCAGTATTGTAAGGAAACGGGTCACTCCAGTCGAGAACATAACTTGGATAGTGATTTAAATTGAATTGCATTGTCATAACTTGAAGATAGCAGATAAGGCACCAGGAAACCTTATGTGAATAAAAGAAAATACAATTATAAAGCATTAGTAACTTAGTATGCATATTTGTGTATTTGCTCATAATTTGAAAATAGTTGGTCCATTTGCAATCATACTTTTACTTTTCACCTGTATTGATGAGTATTCAAAATAATGCAGATGTTTTGATGATAGACTTTTAACATCCTTTGACTATTGGAGAAGATTAGAGCTTGAATAGTAGATATACATAGAGTGAAGTTTATTTTTGTGTCTTGAACATCAAAATGTATGATATGCAGAAAAATAAGTTCTCAGTTAGATGAGAAATGTTCATATTTCCTTTGACACCAAATTATGGTTTATGATTGATGAAATTGATTGTGAATATGTGACCTTGTGATTGTGGTTGGGGGGGGGGGTTCTGGCAGACAAATTTATGTATTTTCTGGTCATATGACATTATTCGACAGTCAACAAAATGAAGATACAAAAAACAGATTCATAATGCTTTTGGAATCAGTACAAGAATAGGAGATATACATTAAAACCTCTCTAAGTTGGACACTTATAGTTCCACAAAAATGTGTCCAACTTACAGAGGTGTGAAAGATAAAGGGAAAAATCATCCTTTCAGATTGTGGTGTAATGACAATGTAATCTATTTACTTACATGAACCAACTACTGTAGGCTTACTTGAATTAAGAATTAATAATAATAATAATCATAATCATAATAATCTTTTAAAACTCACTCCCTTGCATTGCACATTACACTTCAACCTCAATGAAATTTTCTAAAGTTAATTCCATAAATTTTTCCATTTCCGTTAACGTAGTTTGAACTCAAATGGAAGCATGGTACTGATGGGGTTAAAATTGTATCTGCAATACTGTAGTCCAGTGAAGGGTTCAACAGAAGAATAAACACTTTCACTGCATTCCATAGATGGGTTCAGTGTCCATAAGATAATCCTCCAGAGGGGAGGCATTTATCAGTCAGAAATTTGAAACAACAAAATAACTGTAAACATTTCCGTGAAAAGTATTGAGCTAAGTGCAAGAACCTGTCCAACTTACAACAAAAGGGGTGTCCAAGATCCAGGATAAAAGGGCATCCAAGATATAGGGTATTGTGGACATGTAAAATTATAGGATATTTGCTGGTTCCAATCAAAAGTGTCTAATATAGAGAGATGTCCCGAATATAGGGGTGTCCAACTTGAGGGGTTTTACTGTATTATAATTGAATTAACTGTATCAAAAGAATGGGAGAAGAAAGGCACATGAAAGAAGTATTAAGATATAGTTCTGTGGAAAATGTGATTGGAGAAGACCTTAGAAGAGTTGTGGCTATAAACTTCCATTTGCTTCTAAACTACCACTACCTTGAAGATAATTGTAACAATAAATCATTACCCTCAATACATACAACATGAGGTCTTTGACACAATTTTGTCACTGAACAGGAATAATGTTACTGAGCTATTTCTGTGTATTGTGGTTTCTTAATTGAAAATTTCTGTCAGTTTACTTGAAAGATTTGTAAGTACTGAGTGATAGGTATAATACTAATGTGGTATTTAATTTGATGTTGCAGAGAGATGGTGTGGCAGATGACTATGACAAGCACAACCCAGAACATCGTCAGATCTACAAGTTTGTGCGGACTTTATTTAATGCTGCACAGCTTACAGCTGAATGTGCTATCATAACACTGGTATACTTAGAAAGGTTTGTCTAAAACAGTGATATTGCAAGTATGTTATGGTGCTGTTTTAGTTTGCCATATGCAACCTAAAATGATGGTTGATACTAGTCAACATTGACATTTATTAAGTCTGTTAGTTGCAATTTATGAAATAATTTTATGTTGACGAATGTTGCAGCCTCAGTAGGTTGATCTCATCTGTACATGTCATTTAGGGATCACATTTTATAAAGAAATCTCAGTTTTAAATTATCCACTTAAATATTATGTCATATTTATTTTGTAGTTCATATTTTAACATATATATAAATTGGTAGTACACTTCAACCAGTATGGCCCAAAATAAAATTTAATAGATATATGTTAATAAGAACATAATCATTAAATTCCTAATTGGCAGAGTTAAGTTATTTTCTTGTGTACACAGAAGCAGTGACTCAATACTTTTCTTTGAATTTCTAAACTTGAATTTGAGTCAGAATAAGCTGAAAAACAGATAACAATTCCAGACTGTATTAATTACTTATACATCCCAAGTGTAAAGGTATTACTGATCTAAACATTATTTGAAGAGAACACCTTTATAATTTAGATTATTTTAGACAGGACATTAAATAATTTTTACTACACTTTTTTTCTGTAGTTAGCCAGTGCTTTATGAATAATACAACACATATAAGGTGAACAACATAACCATTTTATATGTACAGTAGTATTCTAAAGTGAGAAATGCATGAATACATGATATTTGTGCTCTAGGTTGAAATAATCAGGGTTTTAGGATGATGGCTGTCTTCTGGGTTTGTTGCAAGTTCACCAACATTTCATAGGTCCTTGCTCTCTTACTGCTCTGATGATGGAGGCAGCAAGGACCTCTGAAACATTGGTAAACTACCAGACTACATGGTGCTACAAACCCAGAAGACAGCCATCTTTGTACTCACCGCTGTGATAACTTCAAATCATTCTTATTGTGGGTTTTCATTCTCAGGCTGCTAACATATGCTGAAGTTGATATTACACCAGCAAATTGGAAACGAATTGTACTGGGAGCAATTTTATTAGCTTCCAAAGTATGGGATGACCAAGCAGTTTGGAATGTGGATTACTGCCAAATTTTGAAAGACATAAATGTGGAAGATATGTAAGTACATACTAACATTTTATGTTTACTAGAAATTACTTCTGTTCACTTTCAGAAGAAATTCTGAATCTTACAAACCAAGATGTATTTTAGGGATTAGCATGTTTTAGTGCACTGTTTGCATTTATAGTTTATTTTCATAATTCACATTACAGATAATTTAGGAAAAGTTAGTGCAACTTGCTCACTGTAGCTAAAGCCCATAGAAAGACTGATGAAATGAAATTACTTCATATTTTACTTTTCCCAATCATGTAAACTACATTTTCTAAAAATAATTTCCCATGTTTTCCTTCACTATGTTATCACCTTATTGAAATATTTAACAGTTATATCTGTTAGTATGAACTCTTGTTATTTTAAGGGAATGTTTCCATTGGGAATATCACGTAAGTATAGTTGATATGTCATGTGAAAAGTAGCTAGGTACCGTGGAAGAATAGTTTCTACTTAATTTGTATCTATGTTCATCCCACTTTGTTGTTTATATTTCTGTGTGTACGCTTGTGTTTGATATACATATCCGTCCACCTCTTTTCAACATACTCTTGTCAAGTATGAATAAAGTTTGTATTTTATTATATTATGTTTGGGAGAACCCTCTTCTATAATGAATTCTCAGGCTACCACTCTTGTCAGGTGGTTTAATGGAGAAAACACCAACGTTTTTAGAACCATATTCGTCCTTGTCCTCAGGGTTCTGAAGTTCAGTACCCTGGTAGCCCGAGAAGAATTCATTATACTTAGTCACAATGAAAGCTTCAGATCATACATATCCCTCGTCTGTTTACAAAGAACTAATGTTTAATTTTCTCTCCATTATTGTGGAATTGACAGGAATGAACTTGAGCGTCAATTTTTGGAGATGCTGCAATTTAATATCAATGTTCCCTCCAGCGTATATGCTAAATACTACTTTGATTTGCGGACTCTTGCTGAAGCCAATGATCTTTCATTTCCTGGGGAACCTCTTAGTAAAGATCGAGCTCAGAAGCTGGAGGCAATGTCACGTGTGTGTGAAGACAAAGTGACAGAACAAGCTCTTCGTAATGGGTTTAAAAAATGGTCAAGTATGGACAATGTAAGTACAGGTGCACCACGAAGAAGTGTTGCCATTTTGTCTTGAGTCTCTTCCACCTGGCAATATTTTATGGTGATCCAAGGAATTAAAGTTTGTCAGAGATAAAAAACTGTTTGTTACATGCATCAAGTCAGAGAAGCATAATGAGGTTTTAAGACAAGTGCACATATTCCAAAATGTGACAGCATTTTTCAGTACTGTCTTCTGTTCCTCTGTGCTGCTATAATTTCAGTTTTGTCTGGTGTATTATAACTTTGTAAAGGCTAAGTGATGGTATTTAATATGTTGAAGCTAATTCATGTTACAGAAGCCTCCATTGTCCTGCCTAAATTGAATAAAGGAACTGAATTGGTTTGTAAGAACTGAAGTGTTACCAAAGTTTGTCAAGTAATTAAATTTATTTCATTATAAATTTATCATACATTTTGAGGATAAGTGCTAACAATTATTTAGGGAGTGAGGGTCTTTAAAATATATGGTAAAGGATAACTGCCTTGATTTTCAAACCATGTGCTTCACTATCAATTCTTCCAGCTTTTGTGTATTAATTTGACTCCAAAGAAAACTGGATATACAGAGAAATAGAATATAATTTTTATCTTTTAATATTATATAAAGAGTCTAGCATTCATAATATATGCTGTAATACTATTATAATTATAGACTGCAGAATTCTTCGATTGTTGGGTTGGCACTAAATAGGTACATATTTGGCTGCACACAGATTTTAAGTATTAATTGTTTTTAAATATGTGCAGCTTAATTGTATTACATTATTGATTAAATATATATAGCACAATGCCAGCCATTGCTTTCTGTGATCATTGATTATATTATTTATGCATAAAGCAAAAAAGATATGCCAAGATAGGCTTTTATTAACATTCTCTTATGAAGAGGGATGCTGTATGTAAACACCGACCATATACAATTTCTCGGTCATAGAGTGAAAGCAGTCATTTGCACATAGTAAGTTAATTACTGGGGTCAGAATTTTTGATATTGTCTAGAACAGAAGTACACTGTAGCTTTCACTGTATGGTTTACCAGTATAATGTGTATTTAATTTGCTGTGAGGCTTACATGGAAAGGCCTGTAAGTTCTTTCATTCCTTATTGGGTGTTATAAATATGGTCCATCAGGGTTATTTATAAACTTTCTTTGTTTGTTTGAGGAAACTTATGATGCAAGATGATGTATCTGTAGCATGTATTGTATGTTTAAAGGTTCTAGTTGGAATGTTTGAAGAGTAAGTCGGTATTCCTGACATATATTACACTTCATTTCAGAATAGACTACGGAGGAAGTACTGTACTATTAAAGTACAGTTTGCTGTTATCCAGACCCTTCTATTACTAGAATATCTTGCCTGTTGGCTCTCTTAAAATTTTTATCTTATTGGCAACATTAGATAAATTTCTGTTTGGATACTGGTTATATCTACCAATATAGACAGATCTTATGGATAAGTATATGTACGTTGGTAAAAATCTATCATAAGACATGTAGAGCGTTTGCAGCAAGAATGTCACTGTATGCATGAAGTGAATAATCTTACATCTGATCTTTTTATAACAAAGTAAAACTGTCAATAAATTGAATATTAGGAAGTATATTTTGAAAATATCTGTTTTCATTGTGAGTGCTCCAGTCTTAACATACATAGTAAGGACCAGCTCCTATGTAGGTTTATTAAACCGAACCATCCTTCACCTAATTACACAATCCTTCCACTACTGATGAATTTTGTTAAGGTTTTTTTGTCTGCGTGTAATATAAACAGTAAGTATACTTTATCTGTTGTTATTGGTGTATTTGTAATTAAACACTACTTTATACAAGAACTTTTCATAATAGTATGAATAGCACTTGTAATATGTACAATATGTGTTGTATTATTATGACTTATTACACATCATACGTTATCTGACTAATTTATGAATCAATGTAATGTGTTATAAATACAGGTAGCCCTCGTTTCTCGCCGGTCCAATTTGCGCCGATTCAAACAATGCCGATTTTGAAAGCAGAAAGTCAAAAAGTGAAAAAAAACGTCATTATTATTTATAACGTTTTACAATTTTCTTGTACTAAATCGTAATTCTTACATCCCTGATTTGAAATAAAAATTATAAATACAGTCATCTCTGCAATTACGTATGTTTCGTTGACGCGAATTTGCTCCAATGAGATCGATGAATCGGTAAAAGCTGTTTGTGAAATGCAAACTTTTGTATATGCGAGTTTGCTCTTGAGCTACAGCGAAGAGGAGCATTATGGCATCCATGAGGCCTTACCATGAAATTTTTAAAGAAAGAAGAAATCACGACAGTCCACACTACATGCCTTCTTTAAAACACATGATGATTCTCAACCAGGGACTTCATCAGAGAACTAACATACATCTTTATTATATTCCATGGATCCATAAGTTAGATGACAATAGGATGTAGAATAAGTCATAATAATACAAAACATGTTATACAAATACAAGTCATACTATTATATAAATGTCACAAAATACAAACAAAGGGTTCACATAAAGTAGAGATAATTTACAAATAAATCCACCCATTATACACAATAGATAAATTATGATTTACTTGTAAACATTAGAAATTCATCGACAGAGCCATCGCCAATTTTAATTGTACAGAATATATTTTTTAAATTCCCTTTATTTTATTTACATTATTTCAGAGCTTTAAATGTAACACCGTTATATTACTCGTCAATGTTTGGGTGCTGAGAACGCATGTCATTGACTTCACAATGATTTACATTATAAAATCATTCCAATTTACGCTGATTCCGATTGCTCCGGTTCGTCCAGGAACATCCCCGGCGTAAATCGAGGGCTACCTGTAAATGGATGTGTAATGTTAAACTATCCTGTTCATAGGTGGCAGTAAAGTCGTCTGTGTAAATTATTATAGTTACTTGGAATATGCCGTTTTACTAGGGCTAGTAGACAGGTGGGGCTAGAAGTAAATTCAGAAAAAAACTGAGTACACGTTAGTATCTCGTCATCAGCTGACAGGCGGGCAAAATTATCTTAGGGTAGCTAATAAGTCCTTTGAAAGGGTTACAAAGTTCAAATATCTGGGAACAACAATATCAAATCAAAATGACACTCATGAGGAAGTTAGGAGGATATTAAATTCTAGAAATGCTTGCTACTTCTCAGTTTAAAATATTTTGTCTTCCCGTCTGATTTCTAAGAACCTGAAAATTAAAGTGTACAAAACAATAATCTTGCCTGTTGTTTTGTATGGGTGCGAAGCATGGTCTCTCACTCAGAGGGAGGAACACAGATTGCAGGTGTTTGAGAACAGGGTGCTGAGGAGGATATTTGGGCCTAAGAGGGAAGACGATGGGGCATGGAGAAAACTGCATAATGATGAGCTTAAAAATCTGTACTCCTCCCCCAGTATTGTCAGGGTGATTAAGTCGAAGAGAATGAGATGGGCTGGGCATGTAGCTCCCATGGATGGGACAAGAGGTGTGCACCAGGTACTGGTTGGGAAACCTGAAGGGAAGAGACCGCTGGGGAGATCTAGACGTAGATGGGAGGATAATCTCAGGCGGGATCTATGGGAGATAGGAGTTGAAGGAGACTGGATTTTGTTGGCCCAGGACAGGATCCGGTGGAGGGCTTTGGTTAATTCGGTGATGAACCTTCGGGTTCGGTAAGCCATCTAGTTAGTTAGTTAGGAATATGCCGTTAAAAATATCTGTGATATTTTACTGTGATTTGCCTTCTCAATGTGCATTTCGTATGTTGGTATTGGTAATATCTGCGTTGGTTCTATTTTATAGTTGCTGTTTGATGGTGGTGTATGTAACGAAGAAGCTATTCGGAAATGTTTAGTGAAGTTTTAACTGTGAGAGTTTAAGTACTTTTAATTGCATTAGTAATTACCCAGAATTTAAAATGAGTAACAGGAATTCCAGACATGATAGGAAATCGCCAGATGCAGGTTGTAGGAACAGAAAGAGAAAGCATTCCTCTTCACCTCATAATGAAGAAGGCAAAAGGAAGGAAGGATATGTAAAGATGCAGAGAAATAGAGATTATAGCAGGAGCAGATATCAGAGAGGCAGTAGGTATAAGAATTTAGATGAAGGCAGAAATGGAAAAGAAAGAAGGTTTGGGAAAAGAGAAGATGGTGGGGAAAGCAGTGAATTTTCAAGAAAATTATGTCACAAAAATGAAAATGAGGCTAGTTATTCCAAAAGAAAGGACGGCAGAGAAGAGTATGAAAAGAATTTAAACAATAAAAGTGGGAACGTGAGTGAGTGTGATCGATATTTGGGTAAGAGTGACAGTGAATTCCACACTCAGCAAAGTGATGTTGCCAGTATACAGAAGAAACCTGTTGACTCGTTGTTGTCCAGGACAGGTGGTGCATACATACCTCCTGCTAAATTAAGAATGATGCAAGCCCAAATTACAGATAAGTCAAGTGCTGCTTATCAAAGGATAGCATGGGAAGCACTGAAAAAATCTATACATGGACACATTAATAAAGTGAATACTGGGAATATTTATATTATTGTGCGAGAGTTGCTGAAAGAAAATATTGTGAGAGGACGAGGCCTACTTTGTCGTTCAATAATTCAGGCTCAAGCAGCTTCACCAACTTTTACCCATGTATATGCAGCATTGGTAGCAGTTATTAACTCCAAGGTAAGGTTTGTGTAACCATTTCTTTATGCAATATGAGCAGGATTTTAAACGTTTTTGCAAAATTCGAATTATCTTCACATATATACATTTCTAAAGGTCTCACTTTTTGTTTATATTTGTAGTACATATCATGCTATAAGTTCAGCAAAGAGTTGGCCATGTTTAAACATGAATATATTGTAGTTCTATTCATTGTAATGAACCATCTAATGAGATGAACTCATGAGGAACGTGAGTGTGTATAAAAATGGAGCGTTCTCTCATACCTTCCTTCAGTATGTTTATACCATTGTTCCACCATTATGGTGTTGTAATGTGAATTTGCAGGCCATAGTTTGCTAATTTAGTTTATGTTTAATATGTAGGTGCTATACTTTAATGCAGTTGTTTTATATCAACAGTTTCCAAATATTGGAGAATTGCTGCTAAGACGACTTGTCATTCAATTTAGACGTGGCTTCAAGCGCAATGATAAGACCATTTGCATTTCTGCTGCAACATTTGTTGCTCACCTTGTAAATCAGAGAGTGGTAAGTGGTTTTGTAAATAGGACATGTCACATTAATTAACTTGCATTATACTTATGGTCAGGTTTATTGGGTTTTTGGACTTTGTCCATCGTCCAAGGTTGTGCATGACGTTTTGAAAACCGTATCCGTTTTCATCTTCAGGTGTATGGGGCAGGGGCACCTACATCGTCAGAACCCTACAGAATCCATTTATATATCCAATGAATCCAGTGAATTTGATAGACTCTTCCATATGATGTAACCATTATCACCAAAGTTTCAGATCAGTATTCCATTTAAGTTTTGTCATTTGTAAGTCAGTATTTTCTGGATTTTGATGAATTATGCAGTTCTGTGTATTTTTCTTCAATTATTTAAAACCAATGGTGACTGTGTGTCCTACTTCAACAATAAATAACTCTTAATTTTGTATTTATGCATATCATATGGTTCTCATAGTAAACAGGGATTATTTCCTTAAACAGCATTAATCAATTGTTCTTTGTAATGGTGAAGTAGTGTTGTGTTTTCTTTGTGGTGCAGACTGAATTCTTAAATACTATTTAGACAAGCTTCAGCTTCATTGGGTTAATTACAGATTTAAAAGTGAATGCCACGCTGAAATGAAATGTATTTACAAAGTCCTTTTTCATTGATTCTATTTTTGCTACAGTAATCATACACATGTTTGCCAGTCATTACCATTACTGAGAAAGGATTTTGCATTTAGCATGTGTATTTCTAAGGAGGTACATAGTCCAAAAATATAGATTGCCAGTCATTTAAAAATCAGGTGAAGTACATGAAAGTGTTCACTAATTCACTTATTTCATTGTTAAAATATGAATTTGATGGGAATCATTCTAATTAATGCTTTCCAGAGAGAAGGATGAACAGTTAATTTTGGGTAGGATTTATCTCCAGGTTGGGGGTTGGGTGTAGGGCTAACAACCTTTCACCTTTAAAAAAAACATGTGTTACGAAAAAATCAACCAAGCCTCGGATCAGGACGGACTCTTTGGCACGACCACGGCAATTGAAAAAGGACATGAGATTTGGTACCTGGAACATTAGGAGCCTCTATAGGGCTGGGGCACTGAAATCAGTGTGTAGGGCATTAGGGAATTATAAGTTAGACTTAGTGGCAGTGCAGGAAGTGCGATGGGAGGGGGAGGGCACGATCCCAGTGGACAATTTTACATTTTTCTATGGAAAGGGGAATGACAATCATCAGCTAGGGACGGGTTTTTTTGTTCATAGCAGAATTAGGGCAGCAGTTAAGAGAGTAGAATTTGTTAGTGACAGGTTGTCTTACGTAATTTTGGAAGGACGTTGGTGCGACATCATTGTCCTTAATGTTCATGCCCCAACTGAAGACAAAAGCGATGATATCAAGGATAGCTTTTATGAAGAATTGGAATCAGTATGTGATACATTTGGCAAGTATCACATGAAAATTCCGCTAGGAGATTTCAATGCAAAAATTGGGAGGGAGGATATCTTCAAACCCACAATAGGCAGCGAGAGTCTCCATGCACTTAGTAATGATAACGGTCTTAGAGCAGTAACCTTCGCTACGTCAAAAGATTTAATTGTAAAAAGTACAAAATTTCCACACCGTGATGTTCATAAATACACTTGGACTTCCCCAGATGGCAGAACACACAATCAAATAGATCATGTTTTAGTAGATAAGAGAAGGCAGACAAATGTAATTGATGTGAGATCATTCAGAGGAGCAGATTGCGACACTGATCATTATCTGGTGGTAGCAAAAGTGAGGGAGCGGCTTTCAGTAAGTAGACGAACTAAACAAAATTTTGACACAGAAAGATTTGATTTGAAAAAATTAAGTGAGGGAGAGGCAAAGGAACAATATCAAGTTGAAATTTCGAATAGGTTTCAAATTTTAGAGACAAATGAGGATAATGAAAGTGTGGACATCAACAGGGAGTGGGAAAATGTCAGAAACTGCATCAAAATTTCAGCAAAAGAGAAACTAGGATACTACAGGAGAAAGCAAAATAAACCGTGGTTTGATGAAGAATGTTCAAAATTAATAGATCGAAGGAAGCAAACAAAATTTCAATGGTTGCAGAACCCAAACAAAACAAATGCGGATAATCTATGTAACGTGAGACGTGAGGCTAGTAGAACCTTTAGGACTAAGAAAAGGGAATACCTGAAGGGCAAAATTGCTGAACTTGAGACAAATAATAAGGAAAAAAACATCAGAGACCTGTACAGAGGCATTAATAACTTTAAGAAAGGATATCAACCCCAGACTAATTTGGTAAAGGATGATAGTGGCAATTTGCTTGCAGATCCAATAAAAATTGTGAATAGGTGGAAAAATTTCTTTAGCGAGCTCTTAAATGTTCATAATACTGGTGATATTAGACAGATTAAAATGCATACAGCTGAACTGTTGGTGCCAGAACCTAGCTTAGATGAAGTGGAACTAGCCATTGGGAAGTTGAAAAGTTATAAATCTCCAGGAATTGATCAGATTCCGGCCGAATTAATTAAAGCAGGTGGCAAAGGGTTGCATATGAGGATCCATAAGCTTATTCAGTTAATTTGGGATAAGGAAGAGATGCCACATCAATGGAAGGAATCCATAATTATTCCTATTTATAAGAAGGGGGACAAGACTGAGTGTGGTAATTACCGAGGAATATCGCTGCTATCAACCTCATACAAAATTCTATCCAACATTCTTTTGGCAAGATTAACCCCATATGCGAATGAAACTATTGGGGATCATCAGTGTGGGTTCAGACGAAACAGATCAACGATTGATCAGATCTTTTGCATTCGTCAGATACTAGAGAAAAAATGGGAGTTCGGTGGGACTGTACATCAGTTATTTATAGATTTCAAAAAAGCCTATGACTCTGTGAAGAGAGAAGTGCTATATAATATTCTTATTGAATTTGGTATACCAAAGAAGCTAGTGGGTCTAATAAAAATGTGCTTAAATGAAACCTGCAGCAAAATTCGAGTAGGTAAATATGTATCTGAGACATTCCTCATCAAGAACGGTCTAAAACAAGGAGATGCTTTGTCTCCCTTGCTCTTTAACTTTGCGCTAGAATACGCCATCAGGAAGGTCCAAGGTAGGCAGGAGGGTTTGCAATTGAACGGGACACATCAGCTATTGGCATATGCTGATGATGTTAATTTATTGGGGGACGATATAAATACAATAAAGAGGAACGCAGAAGTTTTACTAGAGGCTGGTAGACAAGTGGGGCTGGAAGTAAATTCAGAAAAAACTAAGTACATGTTAGTATCTCGTCATCAGAAGACAGGCGGGCAAAATTATCTTAGGGTAGCTAATAAATCCTTTGAAAGGGTTACAAAGTTCAAATATTTGGGAACAACAATAACAAATCAAAATGATACTTGTGAGGAAGTTAGGAGGAGACTAAATTCCGGAAATGCTTGCTACTTCTCAGTCCAAAATATTTTGTCTTCCCGTCTGATTTCTAAGAACCTGAAAATTAAAGTATACAAAACAATAATCTTGCCTGTTGTTTTGTATGGGTGCGAAACATGGTCTCTCACTCAGAGGGAGGAACACAGATTGCAGGTGTTTGAGAATCGGGTGTTGAGGAGGATATTTGGGCCTAAGAGGGAAGACGATGGGGCGTGGAGAAAACTGCACAATGACGAGCTTAAAAATCTGTACTGCTCCCCCAGTATTGTGAGGGTGATTAAGTCGAGAAGAGTGAGATGGGCGGGGCATGTAGCGCGCATGGATGGGACAAGAGGTGTGCACCGGGTACTGGTTGGGAAACCTGAAGGGAAGAGACCGCTGGGGAGACCTAGACGTAGATGGGAGGATAATCTCAGGCGGGATCTATGGGAGATAGGAGTTGAAGGAAACTGGATGTTGTTGGCCCAGGACAGGGTCCGGTGGAGGGCTTTGGTTAATTCGGTGATGAACCTTCGGGTTCGGTAAGCCATCTAGTTAGTTAGTTAGTTTATTTTGAAATCTTTGCCATTAAAAAAAAATATTCATATTGCCCCCAAGATTTCTCAGAGCAGTTTTGAGAATCACTGGTTCAAGCCATTAACTATATGAAGCAGATTCTGTCTTGAGAAAGTAGATAGTTAAGCAGTGGTTTGAATCAGAATTAACTGAATTAAGTGTATGTATGAGTATGGTTCTGTTTCAGGCTCATGAAATTGTGGCCCTGGAAATTCTAACTCTTCTTATAGAAAGTCCAACAGATGATTCTGTGGAAGTAGCCATAGCATTTCTAAAGGAATGTGGCATGAAACTAATTGAGGTATCAAAGAAAGGAATGGATGCTATCTTTGAGATACTTCGACATATTTTACATGAAGGACAGCTGGATAAAAGGGTTAGTTTTCTTCAACTTGTATATTCAGCTGAAGTTCTCTAACATACTTTAATTTTACAGTCCCAATATTAAACAATTTTCATCTATTTCATAGCCTTGTCATGGATATTTTACATCCAAGGCACTTTTTCCTTTTTTTTAAATGTAGACAGTGCTAGATAATGAAATAACGCTTTGGAGTCAATGATTGAGGTGGACTAAACAACACTTTTCGTTTCACTGGGAGGAGACAATGAATTCAATTTGACAGATTGTCACATGATTTTTTGCTCAGATGTAAAGATTTCTGCCATCTGGCCTGTTTACAACCGGTTTCTTTTTCTGCTACATTAGTGTGGGCTAGACAATTGAAGTTCAGTTCCCTTCTAAGATATCAGAATTTTTCACCGTTATATCACACAACATATCTTTAGCACACTCAGTTTCCTATCGATATATACTAGGAGAACATGAAACTTAACATAGTGAGTGCATGGCTCTTTATTTCAACATTGTTATGGTGTTCTTCATGACTGTATTTTATAATTCTACATATTTTTACTGTGTATATGTGTTAGGTACAATACATGATTGAAGTGATATTCCAAGTGAGAAAAGATGAATTTCGAGATCATGAAGCAGTTATGAAAGAATTGGACCTTATTGAAGAGCAGGATCAGTTTACTCATCTTATCACATTAGATGATGCTAAAGATTCAGAAGACATCCTCAGTAAGTTTCCTTGGCTTCTGATTCCTTACGTGTCGTCGTACATTTACATGTTGCTTAAATATAACATTTTTTTTGTGTTGTGATAGAATTGATCTGTGAAAACACAAAATTGTCAGTATGTTCTGTTATGTTGATGTTTAAGCAAAATTACTAAAATATAATCTTTGGGTTGAAGAAGTAGGAGATGAAGACAGGGTCGATGGAAGGTTGAACTACCAGATTCACTGTAATAACATTGGCTCTCGGCTATAATATTTTCCCCTTAATGAGCAATATTGGCATGTCTGCATTCACTTTAAGCTTTTGAATCTGGTAAGGGCACTCACAATATTTGTTGGATAATATAGAAGATTTGCTATTGTTAAAATACCATAGCATTGTGGTGTGATTGCTGGGGGATTTCATTAATAATGTGGCATTTGTGCATGACCTTGACTCCTAGACCAGAGTGGGTCATCAAGGCTTAAACCATTGGTTAGTAATTTTGTGTTTACTGAACCACTCTTGGAATATAGTTAAAAGAAACGTGTTGTAACATTTTAATGTGCAGTGTGTCCCAAAAGAATGTGTACACATCATGAATTAAATAAAGGCATTTTAATTAAACTAAATCATTGGCACAAAGTGAATAAGTGAATCTAAAGTGTTCCAAATTACCATCAATAGCCCCTTGACACAATTGACAGTGCTGAGCAACTGATTGGCAAGCAGCCACTAAAGTTGCTGCTGGGATGGCTCTGGATACATCTTTTTGGGCCACCTGTATATCATTTAATGTATTAAAGTTACAGACCTTACATTTGTAGGACTGTTAGGCATTGCTTTCTGTAATTGATAAGCTTTTTTATGCACTATTAAACAGCTGACATTCAGGAAAAATATTGTATGCCACTTATTAAACCAACAGCAATTTGCTGGTTTTATTTTTGACCAATTAGTTTAGCCGTATCCCATTGTATGGTAGAAAATGCTATACATGTGTTGTAAGCAGTAATGTTGTACTTTCTTTTGCTTTTGTATAAGTATTTACTCAATTAGTCAAAAATTTATAATCTCCAGAATAAGAGATATGCGTGAATTTACTGACCCATCTTGGTTTATTTGAGTAAACTCTTACACAGCGTTTATGTTTCATTGTCATCATTTTCATACAAATAGAATAAATATTTGTGCTAAACACTGTTGGAGACCTCAGAGTTTATTACCTTTCAATGAGATATGGCTGAACTACTTGTTGAGAAAGGATACAGGAAGGTCGCAAATTGGCTTAAAACAGGTGGCTGGTGAATTGCTGTATCTTTAAACAAATGGATTAATATGCTAGAAACACAAGATATGTATTTGTGCATTGTTTTACCAATTCTTATGAACAAAGTATGTGACTTAAATAATAAAAATTAAATGTTCCTCTATTAATATTTCAGATGTATTCAAGTTTGATGCAGAGTATGAGGCCAATGAGGATAAGTATAGTTCTCTCAGGAAAGAGATTCTTGATGAAGGTAGTAGCAATTCAGAAAGTGGCTCAGGATCAGAAGAAGAAAGTGATTCAGGAGAAGAAAGTGAAAATGGTAAGCATTTGTCAGTAAAGAACATGAAATGATGCATTCATGCTTGAATCAAAGGAAGCTAGATTAAAAGAAAGAAAGAAAAAAGGAAATGATGGCCTTTCCTCAGTTCTTTTCAATCCCATTCAAAACACTCACAATTCAAAGAAACCTGTGTCAGTGAAGCAGAGGCATTGGATGTACAGAGACATATCCTACAGATGTTGCATTTTTATGATATTTATTTCAAAATTAGAGTCACTGATTATTTTACACTAATGTCACCAACATAAGGAATCAGTTAAATTGTATGTGAGTATGCCAGTAATCATAATGATTGCGTTGGAAATATATGCAATGAATTTGTGATTTTTGAGGTACACAATTGTCACGTGTCTATTTTCTCAGAAGTAATTGGATTGTGGCAGCATTTTCATCCATCAGCAACCTGAGGACATCCCATGCCATACTCGGATTTGGCCCAATTATGACATCCATTATTACATCTAAAAAAAATTGTTCCAATAAATTCTCACCCTGTATTAATTGTTTAGGCACATATAAATGTAATTGCACTGAAAACAAATTCCACACTTTGTTTATGCCACTTTTTTTTTTACAGGCTCTTATATTTTAAATTCTGTTCATATGTTTAAATTGTTTGCTTTTCATCCCAAGAAATATCTTCTCTTGAAAGTACCTCGCATTTACATGATAATTCTACAATAGAAACATGGGGCACACAAATAATGGTTGCCATTTTGCAATAGATGTAAACAGGCAAGAGGAGGCTGACCTTCTGGTCCCACAGCATAATAACCATAATAGTTATGTATACTTCACTCAATCATTATTTTTCTCTAATTCTGTAAAACACACAAGAGTTGGAATATCCATAGTATCCAGCACTAACAATCCAAAGTTGTTGAGATTCTTGGTGTCAGGTTTGATTCTGATGAGCTGCAACATCCTTCCAATAAGCCACTTCCAGAAGTGGTGCTTCTAAACCTTGATCACACTTGGTCCATTGACTGCACGGCTGAGATCATGTTTGGAAGAAAAAACAGACTAGTGTGCAACATTCTTTGCTGGGCAGCACAGGTGTCAGTGAACAACAGTATGTTCTTATTCTTCGCTACCATTTAGCATTCAAAGTTTGCTGGAACAGTGCAGTTCATCCATGCTGTTTTGTTATGCCTACTTGGAAATGGTGATGCTGACCACTCACCCCCATCTAGTGCCAAGGTTAAGAAAGAGAGGAGCTATACCTCCACTCACCCCAAGCGCCTGTACGGCACGTGGAAATGGCTTAATATTGTTTAAACTATGTGGTTTCTCTGGTTTGCCTCCAATTTCCTTATTACATCAAGCTTTCTTGCAGTCAGTGCTTTAAACTTAATTGGAAGGTCAGTCACATTTTAACACTACTGTAACACAATAAATGCTGACATTTTCTTTCACCAATTATAAACTTCTGAAATCCACCTCAGTGAACTAACCGAAACAAATTTTATATACTAAATTTACATTGCGTAATATCAATTCTTGCACCTAGGTCATGCATGTATGGAATAGTTACGAGTGTTTTGGCAGGACTTCGAAAACCAAAAGGGTTAGTACCACGACTGTTCGTCCACAATTTCTAAATTAGCAGTTCATCATCTCCCAAGCATCCAGCAATCTTGCTTTGAGTATATAAAACATCAAGTGAACAACCACAGATGGTGTATAGTATATTCATGATAAGTTTGAAGGGTTCTGACTATTGTATATTACAATTAGTATTACTAGGTTTCTGGTCTTGTCCATTATATGCTATTCCAAACAAAATACAAAGTTTCAGAAACTGATCTGTTTCCATCCTCTGGTGAAAATGTGGCAGAGTTTCTACTTACTCACCTGTGTCTGTTAAAAATTTTGTCATTGTTTCAGAGGAGAGCAGGGATGATGCCATTATTGATAAGACCGAGACTAACCTCATGGCTCTGCGAAGAACGATCTACCTGACGATTCATTCAAGTTTGGATTTTGAAGAATGTGCCCACAAGCTGATGAGGATGGAGTTAAAGCCGGGACAAGAAATAGAATTGTGTCATATGTTTCTAGATTGCTGTGCTGAACAAAGGACATACGAAAAGTTCTATGGACTTTTGTCTCAGGTAATGGCCATTTCCAGCACTGTACGAACATAAGCACAGTAAAAAATTAAGTAAGAGGGGATTGAAGTTCTTAAAATCCATTATATTTACTTAGTGACAACACGTCTACATCATCATTTATACTTGTTGACTTCGTATATTTAATGTCACTTCAAAGGACACTTTCTTGTTGGTGCTGTTGCAATTTAACTTACCATCTGGGAATGATAAGGATGAATCTTACTGTTGTTAGGGCACAGTTTATTTATTAAATTTATTTTGGATACAGGTGCATTTAACAAGAGAAACTTATGGGCCTTTACCTCAACAAACAAAACCACAGCTCCTCCTTAAGTTCTTCACATACTCATCCTTCTGTGTGGCATCTTTTGTAACTTGTGCCAGACTTGATATTGTCTTGTTCTCATGTCATTTTAACTTCCTTCTTCTTTTCAGAGGTTCTGCCAGATCAATAAAATATTTATCCCTCCATTTCAACAAATCTTCAGGGATACATATGACACAATCCATCGCTTAGACACAAACAAGTTACGAAATGTGGCTAAATTTTTTGCACATCTCCTCTTTACTGATGCCATTTCATGGGAGGTGTTGTCCTTCATTCACCTGAATGAGGAAGAGACTACTAGTTCCAGTCGAATCTTCATTAAAATTCTGTTCCTTGAATTATCAGAGTACTTGGGACTTAATAAGCTGAATGGAAGAGTAAAGGATCCGTAAGTAAACATATGAATATATCATTTAAGTTACACAGTTTGGCAGGGTTCAAGTTAGGACTTGAACTCTGATCTCGAAATATATCTTAAAGCTGTAAAACCATTTAAAGTTATAAAAAAAATTAGAAGTTTGAAGTGAGTACATTTAGAAAAGCAAAAAATATATTTTTATATAATTTTATATGAGTTTTTTTAAAGCTTTTGTATTTGACTTTATATCAAAAGCAGTTTTATTTTTCTTCTGTTTTAATATAAATAATTATATATCAAATATTCACTATATCAAAGCTCAAAATACAAGCATCTCCCATAAAATGTACGTAGCTCACCACCCAATTCAGTGTTCCTGTTATGGATACAAACAATGATGGATTGGAATATACTGGCTAAATGACATGCTGGATGTGCAATATATGGGAATACTGGTGGTTTTCGTGCATTTGAGAATCATTTGTTTGAAATCTGCATGATGGAGCAACCGGGCAAGTTCATTTGTCTGTTCCTCAGTGGTGGATCGGAGTTGCTGATTACCTAGAATTCAGAAAGCCACTTAATTTTAAATTATGTCATATAAGAGCATCATAATTCCAAAGATAAGCAGCACAGTTATTAAAAACATCTGATAGTAGGTAGGTAGTATTTTCTCGCAGATATCAGTGAATCTAAAAAGCAGGAACAAGTATAGAGAGGTGTATTAGTGGATTATGTGATTGAGCTTAAAATAATAATATACAATTCAGTTTTTATTTTATTTTTTGCTGGTCATCCTGTTTATATTTACACATTAAAGTAACCTTATATGAAAAATCTAATGCTGTATTCAGAACAGACATTGTTTTTTTTTGTTTTTTTTGCAGAACTATGCAAGTTGCATTTGAGGGTCTGTTTCCACGAGACAATCCCAAGAATACACGATTTGCCATCAATTTCTTTACATCTATAGGCTTGGGAGGACTGACGTAAGTTGACAAAAGTAGTACTGTCACATAGGTTTTATTCAGACAGTTTCATCCTATGCAATATCTTCATTCATGTTAAATAAAAAACCTACACCTGAAGAATCTTTCTTCTGTAGCAAGGTTATCCTTATAACAAACCAGATGTTGGTCCCAGCAAAATATTATGCAGTACAATCTGTACAATAAACCCACACAAAACAAATTTCAAACGTTCTTGAATTTAAATTACATTTAAATTTTATTGACTTGAATTCAAATGTGTTAGCTTGTCTTTTGGCCTCTGCCAATTTGACAAAAGTCAAGAATTCCTTATTATAATGTTGTCTAACATAGAGGCTCTTCTTTTCTTTGTATTCGTTGTCAGAAACGAGTGACTGAGATGAAGTGCAGAAAATCTGCACTTGTAACTGGTCTTGAAACTGAGACCCTGGGCATTTGAAGCCAACATGACCAGTATATTTGATGATGCTTGAAGTTAAACATGCTTATCATATTTCTTCATGTAAGGTGATTTTTTATAATGTATACTAATGGATTGATTTGTTATTTATAGTGATGAATTAAGAGAACATTTGAAGGCACAGCCAAAAGTTCCGTTTGTGCCAAAGTTGCTTGTAAATCTTGCTAGAGATTCCAGTGATGACTCTAGTGACTCTGACTCCAGTTCAGATGCTTCTTCTTCATCTTCTTCTTCTGACACATCTTCAGACAGTAGCTCAGGTATGTGTACTCTTTAATCTTTGTTTTGTGGGATTTTGAAAATCGTATTTTATGTTTTGTAATAGTTTGGAGAGGACATTAGAGTTTTATATATCTTTACAATGATATATGTATTTATATTATCAGTTCTGAAGTGTACGTGCATAATGTAATGAAGTTTATAAATTAAATTCAACAGAACCTTGTAGAGTAGTTTTTGGTAGGATCAGGACCTTTTCTTAAAAATTTCATTTTTTAAGTAATGTTTTCTGTGTTGTCTTGTTTTACTGACATTTCAGAGGTCCTTGACGCCTCCGTTGTCAGGGTGATCGCAATCTCCACGCACAGACACTTTTAGTCATAGCTCCGCTAAGCTTTATAATATTGTAATTGTTTGTTGGCAGAATTATTCTTTTTTCATGTTTTTACTTTTTATTACTTTTTAAGCCCCTATTTTTTAATGTGGGTCTTAGGTTCTGGTAAACACAGTATGACTGATACATGTGTAATCTTTATATGTTTCCCTAATATTTTAACATGATTATGATCATATTCATTGTGGTAGCCCATGGTAGCTTAAACAACCATGTTATTATTTGTGTATGTTTATGAAAACTTTGTCTTTCAGATTCTGATCATAAAAAAGTTATTCAGAAAAAATCTAAAAGCTCAAAAAAAGCAAGAAAACAAAAAAGGCGCTCAAAACATAAGAAGATAAGAAAGTAAACTTGAAAATATGAAAAGGAAGAAAAGTGGGTGATCTGATGGAGAGAAGCACGGAAACATTTGATTGTAAGAGTACAACATAACGCCCACCACCAAAACAAGAAAAATAATAATATGACATTATAATTTTATATAATAAAATTAATGTTTTAAGTAACATGTTTTGTTTGTAGTAGCTAATTTTTTTTATCTGTGGACCTTGTACAAGATTCATTTATAAATATTATTTTCTTATGGTCATGGAAATAAATGTTTTTAATATTGATGTTGTTAAGAAAGTATTCCTGTTTCTCTTTTAGCAAGTACAGAGTTCATTATGATGACTCCAGAATAAATGTGCTGCAACATGTTCAACTACCATTCTATCCAAAATGTTACACTTCCTGGTAGGTCTCATTTCAAATAGCATCAAACATTTAATCAGGTAACTTAACTCCAATGTACTTGAAGATGTCTTGTTTCTTTGTCACATGGCTGAAAAACAAAGTAGGTAAGAATGAGAGACCCAGATCAGATTTGAACCAGACAGCTTCTGATTGTGAAGCAGGAGTGTTATTCACTACAGTATATAATGCCAGACAAGGAATTTAGAACATTTAGGCAGGAGCTTGGCTTCCACGAATATTCATCCAGCCTTTACGTACAGAATTATTTCTCTGTTTTGACGTAAATACGTCTATATGGAAGGGTCAGTGTCATTCCGCAAAAAAGTGTAAGAAAAATGTGTAAGATGGTTACCTAGGAAATATCAACAATTTGTAAATATGGATCGATAACAATGGTCAGCTTGCGTGCATTGTTATGTTACCTAGGAAACGTCATCTGTTTACTCTGCATTGTTGTGTTACATTACTGCCGTCAACAATCCGCTTTCATTATTGCGGAAAGAGCTGAGCTGTGAATCGCTTGTACAAGAAGTGCGTCGTGGAGTAGATAATTTTGTGCTGGTAAAAACGTTTTACAATATCACAGGTACTTATCTTATATAAGAATTATTAAAAAATCTATTGTTGCGTTAATTTGTTGCATCATACTACGTACAAGATGGATGACATTGAAGCTAAAAGACTCCATAACGCAGAATACATGAGACAGTACAGAAAACGTAAAAAAATAGAAGTATTAAATAATGAACTCCAGAGTGTATGGTCAATGGTGAAAAAGTTTTAATTGTTACCCTGTATATTTGTAACTACAAACCTATTGATGATTTGTAAGACACTTATTTTGAGTCATTTGAGACACAGAAAATCCTAATACAATGCTGATAATATTGACAGGAGATTTTAACATTGTTTTAAAGAAGGAGGAATGTTGATGTCAAATCCTCAATGTAGTACTACTAGATCAAAATCTTGTATAGATATGGTGTTTGCACAATATGTTGATACTCAAAAATGTACAAATTTTATAACATATTTCACCTACCACAGACCCATTTTAAGCATAACTAATTCAAGGTAGGCAGTACTGTCTTACTCAAACTTTAATCAATTATAAAGCGGGTATAAAGAAAATATTTAGAATAAAGCCACTATATAAACTCCTTACCGTATAGACGTATTTACGTCAAATTCTCCGGAACCGTGGTTCCACTGTCACTTTTTGGGGTAAGTAAAAGTAAAGTTTGTCCCACTATACGCCATGTAGGCGTTTGGGGTGAGAGGAGGTGTAGCTCCTCTCTTCCTTGACCTTGGCACTAGATGGGGGTGAGTGGTCAGCATCACACCCCAGCCCGCTTTACCCCTGGGAAAGGACCCCGGTACCCATTGTACAGGAGGCTGGGTGGGCCCCAGAGCCGGTCTGGACGCAGATGTTAGAGGAAAAATCCTCTGCCCCCGTCGGGGATCGAACCCCGGTCGTCCAGCCCATAGCTAGTCACTATACTGACTGAGCTATCCCGGCTCATCACTTTTTGGGGTGTGAGTGGAAAACTTTGTTTCCCAGGGTGACCTTGGTATTTTTGGTCTCATATTCATATATATATATATATCACAAAAGCATGTTCTGGATTGCTGGTAAAAGTGAAACCAATAATAAAAGCTGTAAAACTGCCTGCAGAGACAACAGCCCTTTAGGTCTGAGGGATTCCAAGATACTCCGTACACACTAACTTCTTCATGATCATCAGCCTGAATACAGTTTTCAACTAAAATATTGTTTGAAATATGCTACCACCATCAAATACTCCAGTAGCACCAGAAAACGTTTTAATCACATCATCTGTCTATAAGTAACAATAAATGTAATTCAAGGACGTTTTTACTCATCTTGTGTAAGTGTATCATGTTCTGAGGGTCCACGTGGCAGGTTACCATCAGATATATATTTTGTCCAAAACAAAATATAAAACCCTGAAGCCTGTTTTATTTATGCAGCTCAGACTATGTAGCGTTGAATAGCAGAATGATTTGTAAATAATGAAAGAGGAAGGATGTTTGAAGAAGTAATTATGGCCAAATTTAAGGCACTGCCCTGTGACTTTACTGTAGGAACTGAGAAGAACCATGCAAGTGTCAGAAGAGCCTGTCTGTGGGCATCTCCCGAACACGTAGTAAGAATGCTGACGACTCGGTGGCTTCGCAACGTACAGTGTCGTCCTTTGTGCACGAAAGAAATATCACAATTGAAAACTGAAGATGACTAATCTGGTATGTGCTTACTGTCTCCATATACAGGACATGGCGCAACATCCCAGAAGACAAACATTTTCTACTCGCCGCCGTAAGAAGATGAAATCTTACGAATTGAGTATTGTTTTACTGCATTGTGGTACCATAAGTTGCTTTTTGTTTTGGTGTTCAGTTTAAGAAGCGTTTTCAACGATCGAAAAGGCTCTTGTGCCGTAACTGAATGAGGAACACTGTACCAGACTATCCGAATATGTTGCTGTAGAAGATGGGATGGCAGGTGGCAGTCTTACGTAATCCGCAATGCATCAGAAACAATGAGTCACGATTAGTAAACAGGCCTAGATCATATGTGGTAGAATGTGCGTACAGGACAAACGAGATGTGTGTGTGGACTCAGTGACCGTGAATCGTAATTTGCATTAGTGATCTTGATTTGTGGGTCAAGAAAGCTTCTTTAAGGGTACCTAAGGGTTCATCACGAAAATAACCAAAGCCCTCCACCGGTCCCTGTCCTGGGTCAACAAAATCAAATTGCCTTCAACTCCTCTCTCCCACAGATCCCGCTTGATAAATCATCCCATCGACGTCTAGGTCTCCCCAGCCATCTCTTCCCCTCAGGCTTCCCGACCAATACCTGGTGCACACCTCTCGCCCCACCCATCTCATTGTTCTTGACTTCATCACCCTGACAATATTGGGGGAGGAGTACAAATTTTTAAGTTCGTCATTATGTAGTTTTCTCCATGCCCCATCATCCTCTCCTAGGCCCAAATATCCTCAACACCCTGTTCTCACATATCTGAAATCTGTGTTCCTCCCTGAGAGTGAGAGACCATGTTCCACACCAATACAAAATAACAGGCAAAATTATTGTTTTTGTATATTTTAATTTTTAGGTTCTTAGAACTCAGACGGGAATACAAAATATTCTGAACTGAAAAGTAGCGAGCATTTCCGGAATTTGGTCTCCTAATTCCCTCGTGAATATCATTTTGATTTGTTATTGTTGTTTCCAAATATTTTAACTTTTTCACACTTTCAGATCTCGCCAGAAGAATGTTTAATAGAACTGAAGCACCAAAATGTTTTGTTTGTCTGTTTAGTTCCTTTAACCGGACTCCATATTTTACATGTAAATATGTTTCATAATAATAATAATATAATAAACATGGATGTATATTTCAAATGGATGGTTACATAGAATCTGAAGTTCTCACGTCAGGGAGTGCGAAGATGACTGTCTCCTGGGTTGTAGCGCCGTGTAGTCTGGTAGAAGTTAACAATGTATCAGGGGTCCTTGCTGTCTCCATCATCAGGGCGATGAGTGTAGGCAGCAAGGACCCCAGAAACGTCGGTAAATTTCTACCAGACTACACGGCGCTACAACCCAGAAGACAGTCATCTTTGGTTGGTTGCATAGCAAATTCTTGTTCGTGGTACTGTACCTATGTATCGAATCCACAGTATTTATTCTCATTCTGTTTTGGAGATCGGATAATCGAAATCAGTTGAGTTATGTAGGAATTCCCATCTCTTGTTTCAAGTCCATAATTTTATTATCCAAGGTCACGTGCTTGAACCAATCATTTATTGTTGTGTTCAGGTCTCCTTAGATAACCCCAGCCTTAATAAATATTTACAAGAAGATTCCAATTTAAAATAATTACGATGAATCATAATCTATCGTAAGCTGTCTGATACGAATATATAAATCGTAAGTAGCTTCGTAGCAATTGAAATTGACAATACCTACAAATCACTATAGCCCTGAGAGTGGAGGCATCACCTTAGAAATGTCGGTAAACGTCTACGAAAGTGCAAGGTTGAAAAAAACAAAACAAAACAAAAACCACACACACAAACACACACACACCCAGTGAGGACGTGAAATCTCATCCAGTAAACCTCTATTTAGGCGTGTTCCGCCACTTCTCCATGCGTCTTCATCATTTTGTTCCTTGAGTTTGTACACAAGGATTTCGTTCACATAATTAGAATTGCGTTTCCATGGATGTTGTAGGAGAACACATGAATCAGTGTATGCGACTGCACAAGAGAATGATAAACCATATGTGTAACTGCTGTTGCAATGCCCTCCACTGAAATAAAGGAGCAGGTTAAAACCTATGAATACAAGATTAATATACGTAATGCTACATCTGTGCACAAGTGAGGCTACAACACAATCCAAGTGTTCAGAAGTTTTTAAGGCAGACTCATAGTTGCGTAATTTATATTTTTAGCATAAACTCTACGCTTTAAATGTTTCACGGTAGCAACGTATATTAAAACGTATATGCTGAGTTTCAAGAAGGTCGGTTCACAGACAAAGAAATTATTTCAAGGAAACAGAATTAAATGCACTTTTCTTATAGAGTAAGGACACTGAATTATTAAACTAAAATGAGCAACACGAGCGGGTTCCCTGAAGCTCTGAAACAAGGCTAGAAGAAAGTATTCATGGTTTATTTAAGCGACTAACTGTGACTCGTGAATGATAAACTATAGTCTATTTTGCAACGCCTCTCAAACAGCAACAATAACAATGCAGGAGGTAACATTCGAACGAGGTATGCTTCTCTTTGCGCGAGTCGCCCACCTCTGTGAACGTCTTTTTTAGAACAAAACTTTAAATAGAATCCATATTCACGGTAATTATTTCGGTATTTCTGTTGATAGAGTTCCTTGCCTTTGCCATGCTAGGTTTTCGAGTCGTGTTATTGTTTTCACCATTTACATCTATTTCTAGGTATTGGTGTACATAAAGTGCCCAGAACAATTACCCATAAATTATGTGTCAATCCGACCGTTGTCAAAAATTATTCCGATCCACATCATGAACATTGAAACAACTTATTCTGATAGGGATCAAATACCCACGTTTCATTTATCGAACTTATCTGGAAAATTCCACCCATTTAATCATCAGTTATTACTGCACATCCATGGAGGTTTATCTTATTTAGTTTTTGCTGTGTATTTTTTTTTTGGGGGGGGGAGGGTAGAGAAGAGTGACTACTGCATGCTTTGTTTTCACAAGCGTTCTCATGTGAGAAATATGAAACGAAAATGTTTCAAAATGTCATTCTTTTCGCGTCAGTTGTACATGTTACCATTCTATGTAGCATGTAATTACAAGTATCCTATTCGAATATCAGCATAGGTACTGGAACAATACTGAGGTATTTTGAAGTTTGCCTCAATTCCAGTAAGAGAATGTCTGGGTAGTACCGCAAAATATAAACCTACTGACCTAGGAAATACGGGTATTTTCATTAGGGTCCGTTAGCGCGGTTCTTATTCGTAAATGCGCTTCTGAAGTGATAAAGAATTGCAACGATTATAAGCGTTGCGATTGCACGACTACAAAATTATAGACATTCCAATTAATTTGCTTCATGATTTGCCCTTTTATGTGTTCTCGGGTCTGTTAACACTATATCAGTCTGTCTGTTAAGATTTTATCACCCTCCATTTCTAAATGCTGAAAAATCAAAATAAGCGGTAGAACATCATTACGGTGACGTAGGATACGGGGCTTTCTGAAATGAAATCATGGCCATCGGAGAGGCCAAAATGAATTTCCGGTTTAACTTACAAAGTAGTTCTGAAGGTGTATGAGAATAAGTTTTAATTTATCTAATTATATGTTGTAAATGCTTATATGAGCGTGTAAAAATGTATTTTTAATGGCTTATTGTGCGTGTCATAAAATTTAATCTATAAAGAGAAGTTACGTGGTGTGCAGAGCATGAATACTGCACATTTAGGTTGTGATGTGGCTACTGTAGAGGGTGGGCGCTGCTGCGCGTGAAGTTGTGCCAGGGATACATAGGACGTAGTTGAAATTTCGACTTTGCAGTGGAAAATTAATAGGTAAATAGTTAATATTACAGGTTTACGTTCATGTAAATTTATCATTATACTTTGAAGATCAAATAATTCTTAATTTTGGACTGTCGCCAACCGTTTGAGGGCTGTTCGACGTTTCTAAGTGAAGGTAGGTTAGCCCTAAATGCTCGACAGTAAAACCAATACTATTATTGTAAGTGAAATACAAGTATTCATGTAATATTTATGCATTCTAGTTAAAGGCCTAACGATGTGTATGAGGTAGATACTGTATCAGACTTCTAATTCGAAGCTTTTGTAATGTAAATGTGTGGAAGAAATGTTGGAATTCTTGTACTCGTGAACTGTCAGAATGTTTCCTTCATATTACTGCAACCTCATTGAAGTCAGCTGATATCGTGAGCATTTTGTAGGAAACCTAACATTTAAGCCTTCGTAAGAGTTTCTGTCACGTATTTTGTAAACTATTTGATACAAATCAGGAAGGAATGTTTATTGTACTTAGGTTTTACATAATTCTGTTCCTGAGAGTGAAATGACACAGTACGGTAACCGTTATTCCCGTATTTGATACATATGTGTTGTTCACTTTTTGGATACTTTTGTGTTACTGCTTTTATTGTCAGACTATTAAATTTATTTCCCACCTTTAATTTAGATCATGCTTTTCTTGTAAAACTTAGACATAGGGATTATTTATTTTCATTGGTTATGCGATGACCATTTACAGTGGTAATTGCAATGTTCTTGAAGTAATTATACCAATAATGACGTTCTATATATATATATATATATATATAACCACTTCCTTTGTTGGTATATGAAATTCATGTGTTTGAAATAATTACTGGGGAGTTTTATTTAACATGTTTACTCTTATTCTTGTCTTGTAATATGAAGATAATTTTTCAATTGAAGGGTTCTGCTATGGCTAATCGCAGTGGAGCCCAACGGCCAAATGGAACACAGGGGAAAATTTGCCAGTTCAAGCTAGTTCTGCTGGGAGAATCTGCAGTTGGCAAGTCAAGTTTAGTACTGAGGTTTGTGAAAGGACAGTTCCATGAATATCAAGAAAGTACAATAGGAGGTAAGATAGATTTATTTGCTGTGTTGTATTTAAATACATAAATAATGAGGCCATAATATAGTAGGAATTTTAAAACCATAAATTAACCCACAGTTTATCCATTTCTTTAGAACAAAAATATAAATGTTTATTGGAACACTGTAGTCCACCATTTGACTGGGTCTCAAGCTAATTCATTACAGTCTTCATTACCAGATATATATTTGTTTTATTATGCGATCGATAGTATAAGGCAGGGCTCCAGAAAATATGCTTGCCACAAGTGATTTAATATGGAGCCTGTAGGCAAATAGATTTAAAAGTTTGGGGAGTGGGATTTAATAGGCTTACAGATTTTACTGTTGTTTCATGAGCCTTAGAGTGAGACAAGATGACTGTGAAAAGCAAATATGAGGTGTTATTTGGAGTATCAAGCAAATTCAAATGTTTTGTACACCATATTTTGTTTCTGAATAGCATGTATTTACTTTCTGTGTAAGACAGCATCTGATATCAGAATGATAGAGAATCTGATCCTCACTTTCAGTATAATTTTATCCTCACATTTCTGTTACAGTCTCCTGAATAGTTGCTTTTTAGAGGTACTCCTACCAAATGTTGTAGGTGTAGTTGAGTTTTCAGCCATGTTTGAATATTTACCAACTATTTCTATTAGTCCAGTACTTTGAATTAATGCCATAAATAATAAAACTTCATTTTATTTATTAATTAAAGTATTAGTTCCAAAACTCAGTCTGTTGTTACCATAGCTTTGGGAGAATGTTTTTTTTCTTTTTTTAACAGACTTAATGGGAACTGCATTTAGCTGGAAAAGAAAAAAGAGTTTTGGTTCTATGCTCTTCAGTTTTCCCTTTAAACCCACTGGTAACTGTGACCACATGCTTTAGTAATTAGTAACTATGTTTTACCTGCAGAATGTATTTATGGGATTTTTTGATTCACATAGTAAACTGCAAGTATTTCCTTAAATAGCATTAACTGATCTTTCTAATGGAGAAATTTGTTTTCTTTGAGTCAGGGACTGAATTTTTAAGTATTATTTAGATGAGCTTTGGCCTTGGTGGGTTAATATATTCAGTTGTGTGCTTCAGTAAGTTGTGTACTTATATACTGTCCTATTCATACTACAGTAAGAAGGGATGTATATAAACCTTAAATTGTAGGATGATGTGCAGGAGGACACCAAAAGACTCACACTTTACCCACATGAATCTTACTTGAAGTCACCTGGGATTAAATCTGGGTCTCTGCAGTGAGAAGCCAGTGTCTAGCCACCTGAGCTGTGACATGGCCTAATTAAAATTAACCTGTTTGAGCTCATTTTCTAGTGAAGATTGTTTATTTTTTGTTTGTAAAGAAATTATGTCAGATGCATTTGCTTTAAATTTTCTTGTCTCCCAACAATTGCTACACTTTTGATTGTCGCTATAAGTATATCAGAAGTTGAAACCTCAACAAAAACAAATATTTTAAACATAATTGTGAGTGGCAAACACACGTACAAACCGTGGTACCACAGTGTCATTTGGTATTGTACGTATTATGCATGCAGTTAGGTCTGCACTGTTTAATCTGTACACCGGCAGATTGTTATGACATGTAATGACATTGTAAATTAAATGTTCAATGATTGACCATAATACATATAATTGCAAACTACCACCAAAGAATGATTTTGGTGTTCAGACTGCTGCCCAAGATGAGCAGGTCTGTTGCACAGTAATTCTGAAAATAAAATACAGTTATAAACTGAAAATAATCTCATCCAAAAATTCTATGGAAATTACAACATTTATAGGTGCTATGGTGACAAGATACCTGGGATTTTTGGAGCTCTTGCTGTCTTACTAGAATCTGTTGTTCATTTATCTTGATAATGCATTATATACAGAGAGGCCCAAAAAAATGTATACACACTTTAATAGTTGTTATCTATGGACTTTTTTGAAGTTGAATTGAATTACAGTAGCAATGTGTAGTATGATGTTCTCTCAAAAGATGTTGTTAATCACATGAATGGTAGAGCAACTTTGTTCCGATGGTGTATGTTTCAAGGCACAGTAAAAAGATATGCTTGTATAATTGGCCTTTGTGTTACACATTGCAATATTGCAAGGTTAGAAATAACTAGTAAAGACCATGCTGGTTTCTTCCTTTTTGGAAACCTGATTCAGTCCCTTATTTTGCATGGTGTAGGTAGTACTGCAGCACTAATGCTGCTTTCTCGAAACATTCTGCATATTTGAGCCTGTGAGAACTGCATGGCCTGAATTGTCTGGCATCATTTGTCATTAGACTGCGCCATTATAACCAAAAGTTTTATCACTTAAAGATAAAGGTACCACATAAGGTAATCCTCATGTATGACACATTTTGAGTTTCATCAAAGCGAACAATAAATTTGGTTTTCCCTGGTAACTGTTTAAGCTGCAAAACAATTCTGAGCTGCTCATTTGTAAATGTTATGAAAATTATTTTGTATTTGTGACCAAATATTGGGATGATGAAATGAAAGAGTATGAGATGAATAGGATATAGGAAATTCATATAAGATTTTAGCTGGAAAACCTAATGGGAAGACACCATTTGTGAGATTTAGGTCTGTGTAGGAGGCAGAAGTATTGTAAAATTTATGCTTAATTTAAACACCATAAAGTCACTTAAGGAATGGAAGTATAGCTCCACACATTCTTAAGCCTCACATAAAATAGGAGGATATTACAATGTAGATGATGAAGGCATGGATCAGGTTCACTTGGCTTACTATAAGATGGGCTCTTTTAAGCACTGGAAATTTGGATTTCATGAAAGGTAGGGAATTTCTTGACCAGCTGAGGATGCAGCTTTGTGACTAAATTAATAAGATCTAACAGTTATGTATTGGTACTTGACTTTTAGATGATATAACCATGTATCACATAACTGAAATCAGAGTTTCTCACGCTGTGTTCCATGGGAGTAGTAGAAGTATTGCACATAATTTACTTACATATTTTTATTTTACTACACATGTACATAATATTAGATTTCTGGACAACTTTATCAAAATTTTATCCAGCTATTGGAAACAGCCATCAACATCCTTGTGTTATTTTCAACCATGTACTTTGTGTGAACCAAATATCTTCTATACTGATTTTTGTGGCGATAATAGCGTAATTATTCTATTTAAATTTCGAAGTTTTTAATAGTTCAAATTGCTTAATAAACATATTTATTTTTTATAATATTCCTGAGTGAGGATGCCCAGACTCCTCATGTCATCTGGGGGTGCTCCTAACCCCCCTTCTAGCCCATCCCCAGATGTGCCACAAATTTTAGAACTATAACAAACTGTGCTGCAAGTATAGAAAAGACTGCAGAACACTGTCATCAATGTATCCTAACATATGCTGTGGTTGCCATCTGAGAGCATTGCTACAAAACTGTTTTCACCAAGCGTAAATTCTCTTTGTTACAGCAAAAATAATGTGACATTTGTCAAAGTTTGGTAAGCTGCTTTGACGTTGATGTTGGAAAAGAGCTATCAGCACATTTTAAGGCATCTAGTTGATTATCATTTATACCTATCCTTGCAGATGCTGTTTTTGAACTGATCAGCATTGGATGTTGAAGTGAGCTAAAGTGAATGATGACAGATTTTGGTCTTCGTCATGTATGTGTGTGTTATGTATCAGTTCTGTATGGTACAGCACAGAAAAATGGTTTGAGAGGTATATGAAATTTATAATGAAGCATATTTTCTGTTACAGCTGCATTTCTTACTCAGACAGTTTGCCTGGATGACACAACAGTAAAGTTTGAGATCTGGGACACTGCAGGCCAGGAGAGGTATCATAGTCTTGCTCCAATGTATTACAGAGGAGCCCAAGCAGCCATTGTGGTGTATGATATTACAAACCAGGTAATATATATAATCAGTAACAGTCCTGTAGTTGTAATATACAAGTACAATGCAGAAAGAGCACAAGAAATTGTTATTGTATTAATCAGAAAGTCAAGAATTTTCCACTTTCATTTGATGGTTGGCAGTATTGTTAATATAATTCAACCATGAAATTGGAAAATGATTCTAGCCTGTTTGGCATCAATAATCTTAAAACTTTGCATACCGTGTAGTGTATTAGAATATAAAATAAGCAAACAAACAAACTATTAAACACTATAAAAAAGACTAGTGCCATACGTGTTTCAACCTCAGACCAGCTATGGTCACCGGACCATCGGATCAATTGGTAAGTGCAGAGTTCAACTCCTGTGAAACCAACATCTAGTGTAGTGTTGCTTGATATGCTTTTGTAAAATATTCCACTTCATTATTTGTTTTATAAACCAATTTTAAACCATTTTGATTAAATGAATTAATTTCCCTGTTGCCACTGATGATGACCTCTTGAGGTTGAAACGCGTATAGCACTAGTGTCTTTTTTGTAGTGTTTAATAGTTTGTTTGTTTGTTTGCTTATTTTACATGAAATTGGGAAAAAAAATGTTTCTCTGACCAGAGGTGTTTAAATCATGAAATCCCCTGAGCTGTAGGGTTATAGGTAAAAGTAAAGGAGATTAATAATTTTGTTAGTTGTTATGTAAAAGTATGGAATTTGAAAACAGAAATATAAACTCTTATATTGCCAAACAAGAGTATTTATATTTAGTTGTTAGTGGCTGCCATGGTTGTAAATTCTGAGGCTTGTATAGCAGAATAGTAGTAGTAGTTCCTGTAGCTCCTCAGTGGATCATAGGGCCTCCTTTTGGGAGTTACATAGTCTTTGAAGCGTGCATTTAAGAGTAGTGAGTGACTAGCCCTCTGACTCTGCAGTTTCTATTCACTCCTGTTTTGACTGCCAGAGCCATCTAGCAGTGAATCAGGAGAGACTTGGGTGAGAAATGACCGCTGAATTTTGCTTACGAAACATCTCGTATCTTGCTCGCAAGGTTCTTTTGCATGCCGTAAATCTACGACATGGGACCGCCGGCTCTACTTTCCCTCCGAAGGAAGTTGTGCTACAGACTTTTATCACCCTTAAAATTCCATCGACCTTGGCCGGGATTGAACCCGCGAACCTTGGGTCCAGTGGCGAGCACACTAACCATTAGTCCACCGAGGGCGAATAACTGTCCACAAATAAAGATAAACCAAATTATACACTGTAAATACATTCAGTTTTTTGTCCGATGAACTAAGTTTACTTGGCAGGATCACTTCCAATAATTTGTTTTTGAATAGTAATTTTCAGAAGACTCTACTAAGGAAAGTCCCTCATTACACTTCTAGCAATACATTGTTGTAAGTTTTTTGCAGCTTTTCCTGTTTCAGAGTATTCCATGAGTGTAATGAAAGAGAAATACATTAATGGCATTTAAGGTGAAAGAACTTACCTGAAGTAAATGATATATTGATATTGAAGTATTGGAACAAGTCAACATTTCCGTTACCTAAACAGTGTTGTGATGGAGAAATTATATATAGAAATTACTTCAAAATTCTGATCATCATAAATTAAATATTTTGTAGGCATGAAAGAACCATTTGTAACAAGCTTGTTAGACCATCACATGACATTGGGTAGACTGGTAAGAGCACATTTTCAGTGGCGATACATTTCACAAGATTGACAATAACCAAAGAAAATAAATATAGGATTTGATGTTCTTATAGCAATGTGAGTTTCCTTAGAGGTATTATTGGTGGTTGCTGCCTTCACTGCGTGTTTCGTCCAAAATGATATACAGTTGTTATTAATACGTTAATTTTAAGAATTTTATAGTTAGGTATTAGAATTTATCTAGCATAGTGAATCTGCTACGATATTAATTGTTTAATTCCCTCTTGTAGGATACATTTGGGAGAGCGAAAACATGGGTTAAAGAACTTCAGAGGCAAGCATCGCCGAACATTGTTATTGCACTTGCAGGCAATAAAGCAGATTTGGCAAATAAAAGAATGGTGGAATATGATGAAGCTCGAGGTTATGCTGAAGAGAATGGCCTTCTCTTCATGGAGACCTCTGCGAAGACAGCTATGAATGTCAATGATATTTTCTTGGCAATTGGTAAGACTTCACCAGTATGAAATAATGTTCTGTTCATATTCTTATATTTTCCTACTGTATTTTTTTCTAAATTTAAAATATGCTTTGTGTTGTCATAATTTGTTAGGAATATTTTAATATGTTGCTTGTACCATTACCCATTGAAACAAGTAAACTTTGTGTGTAGTATTGTCACTGTTCACACTGCAGCACATTTTGAGTGATTGGAAACTTTCAGTTGTGTGATTTTGGAATAAAGTTCTAAAAGGTTTTGATGATGGTCTTGTTTTTCTGATTGAAATCTGTTGTTTAGTGTATTGTTTGTTCAATACTGGGAACTGTTATGTAGCATAATAATTTTAAGTATGTGGTCATAACTGTATCAGTTCATTGTTTACATATACTACCTTCGAGACAACCAGGATGTGTGTAATAAAGTATAGAAATACAATGAAATGTAAAAGTTTAGAGAAATATGTTTTTGGACATATGGAAATACATTGAACTTTGGAAAAACTGTAAGCTCATGAATACAGATTGAGTGGTGGAGTGAGGAAGGGGCACAATATATGACATGGAATGTTAGGAACATTTTCAGCTTGGATAAAGTACTTTATACTGTGACTGTTCAGTATTTACTATTACAAGTGCTCCTCATTTCAGGGAAGTAAACATTAATTGTTAGCTCATTTATCCATGGTAATGACATTTAGAGGAATTGTGAAAAATATGAAACCATGGATGTGAGAAACTACTTTAAGTAGACTTTTGATGAAGTCAGAGCTCCTTTTCTGTGTCATAGATTGACTTTATTGCAGGTTTTTGTGTTCAAGTTTGGTGGTAGCTAACAACACATGCGCATATTTGTCTATCTAAATCCCATCCTTTTGTGACAGTTGTAAGGATAATGATGCTGCTTGAACAGTGATAACAGTGATGATGAAAGAATGATAATGGCAGAAACAGTATTATAAAAATGATGATGTAGGTGTATACGTGTATCATATATTATGCATATAAAGTGAGTGTGAAATTTTGATTGAAATAGAGAGACAGAATTTGTCTATCTTTGGCTTGCAACGTAGTTTGCATTTAATAAAATATGTTTCTATCTTGATGTTGATTTTCTGAACCCTTATTTACTTTGTATTTCAGCCAAAAAGCTCCCAAAGAATGAGCAAGTGGCTGGTGCAGGAACCAGTGGTCAAGGCCGGCGATTGGTTGAATCTGAAGGTCAGCAAAAGGCACCAGGAAATTGCTGCAAGTGATCCGTCTTTATGCCATTTTGGATCTTCTTCAAAACTCATGTAGGTGAATTTTTACTGTTGGCAGAATATGCCTAAAATACTAGTAGGACATGGTTCCTGTTAACATTTTCAAATATCATTTTTGCACATATGGGGAAGTAGAAGGTATCTGGGATTAATTTAATAATTATTAATTGTATTCTTAGTAAGTTTCTGTATTGACAAACTTTATTTTATGAGAGTGAGTTGTTTTTCTGCTCTCTCCTAATCCTAAAACTTTTAAACCTTAACATGCAGATAAGATTTTGTCTGCAGGTGTAAGCTTTTAATCAGAATACACAGTTTAAGCCATGAAGACTGATAATTAATGTGCACATAGAGATCATTTTTTAACTGTGTCATACTAATGAAGAAGTGCTCACTTCAGTTTTAGTGCACACAAACTAGTCCCACTTTATGTGTAAGGTACTCTTGACATTTTGAATTCTATGGACTTTGGTTTGGTACATTGGAAAATTACTAGTTTGGCTGTTGTCCCCATACCCAGTTTCACATGTCTGGCTCATTAGTTTTGCTTTCAAGCTGTAATGCAGAGGACATTTTCACAAAATGTTTTACATTTTACAAATTAAGTACCTTTACAAACATATATTTTTTATGCTCCATTTCCATTCACCATTTTAGGGTCCTAAATTAGTGTCATTTCTACCTCAAATTTTCAAGATTGCATATTGTTATTACTGTTTTTTGGAAGTTCAAAAGAACAAGGTTGGGATGGTCACCAGTGGCATGATGTTTATACCAGGTTTTCTGAATATTGGTCAGGTTATTCAAAATTTGTAAGGTGGGGAGGATACAGCATGGTGATCAGTTATGCCTTCTTAAAGAATGAAAGTAGTATGTCTTACAAATAGAAAATAGTTTTAAAAAGTTCAGGTTACAATTTTTGGCAGTTATTGTGATCAGTGTGTACAGTGTAGTAAAAACAGCTTATTTCATACAGTATCTGATGATTTATGTTTTGTATAATTATATTTGATTGTAATTATCCTGTTTTTCATCACCCTTGGTCCATTGGTCTGCACATTTCCTGATTTTATTGGAATAACATGTTTCTAATTGGGTGATGTATCATTCTTTCGCTGTTTGATTCTACTACTGACAAACATTTAAGATGGTTTCATCAATGCTGATTCCTTAGTTGTCTGAGATATGTTGGTCTGTCTGCTTCCAAACCTCATCTCACTTTACAGTTAACAGCACACAGAGTGTGCATCAACAATGTATAATCTGCTCTCATCTGAATCTTTTTGCCAGTTTGCATTGCCATGTTGAATTTATTCTTCCATGTCCCACCCTGTGACCTCAAGAATTGGATCACAGATTATTATTCTTTGGTGAATTCATTCCATGGATCAGCTGTGTTAAATGTATTAGCATTGTCATTAATAAATAAACAGAAAACAATGAAAAGTGATGATATGAGAGGAGGGAAGGTTCATATGTTAAGACTGGTGTGCACTGAATTTTTCTAAGGAGAATAAAATTCATGAAGTGTGGAGTCAATTGAAAGCCTTGCATTTTATTAAGACATTGCAGAATAAAAACAGAAGAAGAAGAAGAAATTGCTGTGAAATTATGTGGCTAATGTAAGCAGTAACATTTGATAGTGATACTTCAGAGTTTGAAAATGTGTTTACTGTGAAACATGACTCTGTTTTTTGTTTTTGTTTTTTCCCCCCCATTGTGTCTTTGATTTGGGTTCATTGAGTTGGACAAATAAAAGGAATGATGCCTTTAGTTTCTTAATCTTTTTTATATTATATGCATATTTCAGTTCAGTTACATATGTGTCGTGAAGGGCTGTATGAGGGTTTTATGAATGTACCATCTTGCTGTACCCCAGCAATATTATTCTTTTTACAATGTTTCATGTCATCAGTAGGTTGAAAACACATTTCTTATTATATTTGTAATTAATTTAGAAGATGTGATGTTTTTTGTGTATTTCCAGGTTTGTTCCATTCTTAGCTAGGAGGGAAAGGTTCCGGCTGGCTTTATGCGGACCAGGCCGGTTCTTCGGCATTTTTGTTAGCTGGAAACATTCCTGGTGGTCGGAACAAGTAACCCCTCCATATGTGAAATGAACAGATTTCCACTATAATCCTCCTATCAATTGCCATGCAGATTAACTCGATACATTATATCAGTGGCAATTGTTTATAGGTGAAATAAGTGTAATAATATTAATAATAATGATAATACGCTGTACGTATGTCTGCCTGGGAGTCCTGGAAACATACCAATGTGTTTCAAGTGCTGCAGTGAACAGCGCCATGGTACAGAACCAAGGAAACATAAAAAACACATCTTTGCAGTGATCTGCTAGTAGAAAGCTACTTAGCAGTGATTGGTATTTTCACACGACTCCTTCAATCAAGTCTTTTCATCAAATTTCCTCTTGAACACCTGGTGGTAAGTTGTATGTTTTATTGTTCAGAAATGTGTTCCAAAAAGAAATGTTTTGGAATGTGCCAGCGATATGTTAATTACATAGATTAGATCTTTTATAGTACTATAAAACTACTAGTGCAGCTTTGTCTTGTTCCCCGTAAAATTTAGTGTGCCGATATGTTGTCATAAGTTTCACAAATTTGAAATTGAAAGATATGTTTGGAACATATTTCTGGCCTTGAGATTGGTATGTAACAGTTTATTATTAAAAAGAAATATGCTCATGATCCAAACTACTAGCTTGTGTATCATATCAGTATGAGTTTATTATGACATATATCATACCAGTGTAGTTAAATTTGCAATCATATTCAGTTTTTCTTTAGATGTACAGATAGGATATTGCTGTGGTGGTTGTACATTTTTATTCAAATTCTTTAATTGTTTTCTGAAATAATTAAAGACAAATGAGCAGTGAGCTCTAATTAGAAATATCATGCATGGGTGTTGAAAATGAAATTACCCTTCCAAATCAAGCACTGTATTATACATATTGGAATGCTTGCTTTATCTTTCTGTAAGCACAGCAACACTGAGATTGTACAGGATAAATCATAAAGAAATAAAGTTAATAGGATATTGTGTAGTATTTATTGTTATAGACATGTCAACATTTATGCCTGGTTGTGGAGGTAATGTTGCATCTGGGTTGAAATGGTTCTTCAGGTTTTTCAGTAATACAACTACCCTTCATATTTTAAGAGGTGAAAGTCCTATTATAATATCCGGAATGTAATCATGGTAAGATAGGAACCATAACATGTACTAGAGTAAGGAACATGTTCAATTTTTTGTTCAGCTGTTTGCACCATTATAGTACGTAGAAGAACCAATACAGACTTCTGTACTAGGTAGGCAAGATCAGGTTTCTTTTCAATTTTGATCTTCTAGGTTGTGACATCACAACCCAGAGCACTGGTCAACATCTTCTTCATTGTGAGAGCCTAAAATTTCAGAATTTTCTTTGCATGCTGAAAAGATGGGTGCACATTTGATATGTGATCATTTATTGCATAAATTCTTTTATGACAGCAGTAAGGAAAGGGCACAATTAGTATGTTTTATCCATAATGTTAGATTCCTTATGTATATTACCAGAAATACCCAAAATCCATCTAAACCAGTTTTGATGGAAATGGGTATGTCCAGTGACATACTTAATTCATATTGTGGCACCATGTGGCATTCTTTAATTTTGTGTGTGCTCTTATTTCTATATTACTGTGATTGCATGGACTTTAATTAGATGGGGGCAGGAATCTTATTCACAAGTTCATGTTTAAAAGTGCAATAATGCAATGTGCAGATGATAATGAGAATTTATGAATAGAAAATAAAATTATTTCTGTTATTAAAATAGGTTATACGTTCTGAGGATTTCATTTGTAGTTTCCAGGGCTATGGACAACTTAGTGTGATTTCAGCATTTGCAATGTGATGCCAAGGCTATCTGTAGAAGAATTTTTCATAACCTTTTTTCTTTTTTAAATATTAGTTACTTTGACAGGGTAGTCTGGTATGGTAGGAAAAGCATGGCCTCTGCCTACTGTTGTGTCATCTCTATGTGAAGTTCATTAAAATCCTGTACAAGATTGTAAAAGATGTAATAAACAATATGTAGGTCAGATTATATATACATTGATACATGGTTCTGTTGGACATATCGGAAGGTTTTAACATGAAGTACAACATTCCACATTTCCGTAGCATGTCAAATAATTTGTCATTAATTGGTTGGCATTGTTTATAGAAAGAATTAACAAATTAATTGTGTTAAACTTACTGGCATTCTAGTAATTTAAGAAAGGCTAACCCTCGTGAGACAGAATGCAAGACTATAAACCTTTTGGCAGCATCTAAGAAGAAAATAAAATCATGTGCTGGAATTGGTAGCTGTATCATTTCTACAAATAATGACTTTCTTTGATTTAATTTCCTTATTATAAAAAGCTGGGGCAGCTCAGTCAGTATAGTGACTAGAACATAGGGTATGATTTACAGCAGGGGCATAGATTTCTCATTGTGAATGCTTTCATACTGACTGGGACCCACCCAGTGTTCTGTCCAGTGAACACCCAGGTCTCTTTCGCTGGGGGTAAAGGAGCTGGTATGTCAAGCTGACCATTCACCTCCATCTGGTGTTAAGGTTAGTAAGTGGAAATATACCTTGACACCTCTTATAAACAAATTTGACATGCTTAAACACCAGGAACAACTTTACCTTTTATGTTACTCTAGTTATCACACTTACATATGACATACCCACAATTACTTTTCAAAGACAAACTTAACAAAACCATTGCACTGTTCATTGGTACAAATAATAGCGAATGGTTTATTTGTAATGTGCTTACAACTGGATGCTGGATTAAATGCTCTGTAACACTTACATATTTATATTTATCTGTGAGTTTGCAGAACTCTTACATTCTTATATTTATCTCTGTGTGTGCAGAAGCTGGTAAGATAAAATATTTTAATTGGGTTTAGAGAAAACAATTAACTATTGTAAGGATGCAGACATGCCAGTACTGTGCATCCCATTGCAAAGTAATGGTAAGTACAGCAAAACTTATATGTAACAAAATTCAAGGAGCTCAATTTTTTTTTTAAGTTTGTGTATGTGCATTGTTTGCATCGAGGTCTTTGTGTGCCTGCAATTTGGAATGTTTTTTGTTTGGTGTATATTATGTAAAGATTTTACTGTGTTTTTGCCTTGGGTTCTCATTAGCTTGTAATAACATTATAGAGTTTTGAAATTAAGATACAAATTTTTGGTCAGTTATATTGAACAGAAGGCTTGCCTATAAACATTGTGACAAGACTTATTCTTTTTTTTAATTTGGTATTAATAAAACATTACTTGTTTAGTGTACTAGTTCTGTGCAACTTAGTTGTCATTCTGTTATCGTTTAAAAAAAACAATGTATTCCATTTTCCACAGAGCACACCCTGATGTAAATTGCAACTTGCACAAAAATATCTGATGTAAAAGTTGCAGATTTTTTGGAAATATATAAAAGATTGTACATGTAAGACTTTATGCTTTCATGGCATATGAATGTTATACAATTTTGTTGGGCAATCAGCCGTGTTAATGTTGGGTCAAATGCCAGTGTTCCAAAGACTCTCTGTCTCCATGTTCAGTAAGAGTAAGTTTGAGAAATGACAGAAAATGCTTATATCATTTGGTCTTAGCAGTGCCTTCTCCTTACTCCTCTTATTGGCAAATAGTTTGAGAGTGGCCAGTCCTCTCACTGGGTGTACTGCCATGTCACTTAACATGGAATAAGATCTTCTGTAACATGTTATGTCTTGGTCTTTTGATGTTTTTGCTGGTTATGTTGGGATTCATCACATCTAGTGTGTTTTGGTAAGATTTTGTACACTTTGCATCCATTTCTTTTTCCTCAGACAGTTTGTTCATAACCATGACATTTCCATGGTTACCAAGTGGCAACAAGAAAGGTAAGTGCAGAATCTTGTGTGTTGTGTAGAAAGAAAACACTGACAAAATGTCAATGTTTAAAGTACAGTATTGTGTGTTACTCCCAAATTGAATTTCTGAGGCTACTGGCATTACAGCGGAAGAGAACTAAGTAGTTATCAGATATTTTTAATGATCTTTTTGATGAGTTCATTACCTGATCTTTATAAAGTAATGAACTCATCAAAATGATCATTTATATACGAGGGCACGTAATTGAAATTTATGGCATTTATACAGAATGTCTAGTGACTTCATTATTACTTCAAAATATTATTCTTGAGGCTATAGTCGGAAATGGCATGAAGCTATGAATATTTGAAATGGAAGGTGGTTTGAACCTTATGTAGAATAACGTGTTGTTGCTGCATCTTGCAATATCAAAACAACGTTCTTCTCCTGTTTGTTTTGCATGTAATCCATGAAAATCTACAAGGAATGAGTCCAGTGACACAATTCTGTGGGCCACCGCAACCAATGAATGATAATGGGAACTGCTCATTCTAAGTCCTCTTTAATTTCTGCTCATAGCTCCCTATCCCTTGAGAATCTGACCATTTTATAAAGCAGCATCCCATGAGTACAGAGTGAATGGAATGAGATAAAACATATTTCCATGCCGACTTTAATTCTTTTATATCACGATGAAAACTTTTTCCTGGTAATAATAAAGTTGGCATTCAGCATATGAAGGATGTGTTCACACTTTGGTGCATAGATTCTGAAAATGTAAAATGGCCGTCTACGTGTGTACGCACGCATTTCCTCTCTCGCACGCACACACATGTCATGCAGCCAGTGACGAGAATTCGGTGTAACACATGTGTATGCGTCACAGGGGAGGTATGGGACATTAAGAATGTCAACAAATGTGACGAAGGTCAAAAATTAAGAGATTTTAAATTTGTCATTCATTAGTTTGTTAGGCACTAAGTAAAAGTGAAGTTTCTGTAAATGAGCATCATGTCTTTTAGAACTAAAGGAAATGAAAGTAATTATGAAGCAGAAGAAAGTGGAACAGTTAGTGCAGGGTCCAAAACTCTTCCAGTTTTAAATGAACTAAACGAGCTATATAAAAATCGCATACGGAGAATAGATGAAGAAGCTGGTGAAGATGGCACAGAGGTAATAAATGGGCGTAATTTAAGTCACGTCTTGTGTTAAGGTTAGGTAAAAAATGAACAAGGGTGTTATTATTATTACCACCATCATTACTACTACTACTAGTAGTAGTAGTATTAGTGATTTATTTAACAAAGCTGTCAGTGGTTTAGGCCGTTTTGCGTCAGATGAAAGGATAATTAATTAACAATGAACCGGAAATGGTATGGAAGTAAGCAGCCATGGCCTAATTTAAAGTACTGCCCTGTAATTTGCATTGAAGGAATTAGGAAAACTACGAAAAACCTTCAGTATATTTGGTCTTTCGGCCTAGATTACAGTCTGATCTGACAATGAAAATATTTTATGCTTTTAAAAAAAATGGTCTGTGATACAAAATTGACCAGAACTAACAAAAAACTTTATTGTAAAGTTTTTTGTTCTGTAGGTATAATGTGATGTATTTTCACTCACTTAATATTTCCCAGTTTCTTATATATGTTTCTGAGAACCTTATTTTCAGACATTTATAATTTAAGTTCATCCATCAAAATAAGAGACTATTTCACACTCATAAAGCAGCAGGAAAAATTATTGTGTCCATATTTTGAACTGGCTCCATAGCCAGAAAGGTAAGGCATTTGATCCACCCACATAATTCTGTATGGGGTAGTTATGTGATATTTATTTCAGATAAAACTTTTAGTTCTTCAATCATGGGTCTCAGATCTAGAAGAGCAAAATACCATGCTTATCCAGGCAGTGGAACAATTGGAGCAGGAAGCAGCTGATCGTGTGTCTTTACTTCAAGAAAGTTTGCAGCGCTCATCTCAGGCAGCTGTTGCATACATGACCAAGCTGGATGATTTTGATAAGGGTGTGTCTGTAGAGAAGGTATGCTCCAGAATATGGTTATCTTGAAGTTAAGAGGTTTGATAATATCTGGGTTATGCTGCATTTTGTATTTTAACTTGTTTAATGTTTCAGACCTTATATTGTAGCACTGATCAGTACAAAACACTTTCATTTAAGAACTAAAATGTTTATATACCATCCAAATTCACAGTATTTTAACTTTCTGACTACAGTACATGCCTATACAGGAGAGATGTAGATAATCGTGAGGCTTTGGGTAAGATAGATTAGTGAGTCCTGCTGGTAAGAAATGTACACATAAGATACTTTAAGTTGTTTTAATTGCTATAATCTTAAATTATGGATTAAATCATTGAATATTTACTGACGTCTGTAATGTTTATAATACATGTAGAAGTGTTATGAATCTTATGCTCCACATATCTGGAAACTGATCAGTATTATGTAATACCTTGTATGTTTAATTGTGAAAATATTCTGATATCATTGTTTGGTGTAGGATAAAGATTCCATTATTGAAGATCTTAAGGCTGAACTTTTGAGCCTGCGTATGAAACTGAAGAAATGTGGGTATGGCAAAAGAAGGTTAGTGTTATTTGTAACATATATGGCACTTCCCCTATAATTGCAGTTCAAGGAATATTGAATTGACCAGTGTTAGGAGCTTATCTGTCTTATGTCTACTGGAAATCTAGGTAACTGTATTTGATCCAGCCCAAAACTGCATGCATACATACATGCATGCATAAAGGTTTCCTGGGTGGAAGTGGCTAATTTGGAATGTTGTCAGTTCTATCTATTAGTAGCTTAACCCAGTAGTGGGTCATTGCCACCTCATTTCAGAGGTTTCATAGTCTTTGAAGCGTGCATTATGAGTAGTGAGTGACCAGCCCACTGACTCTGCACAATTTCTACTTACTCTTGATTTAACTGCCAGTACCATCTAGCAGTGAATCAGGAGAGACTTGGGTGAGAAATGACCGCTGAATTTTGCTTACAAAACATGTCATATCATGCTTGCAAGGTTCTTTTACATGCCGTAAATCTATGACATGGGACCGCTGGCTTTACAACCCCTCCAAAGGAAGTTGTACTACAGATTTTTATCACCCTTAAAAATCCATCGACCTTGGCCGGGATTGAACCCGAAAACCTTGGTTCCAGTGGTGAGCATGCTAACCACTAGTCCACCGAGGGCAACAATGTTGTCAGTTAAGTGATTTTAAATGAAAATGTTGTATCATCATGTTTATTTATAAGGGTTAAGGAATAATTTATATTTACAATTAAACAGTAAGAATAGTGATTGATAGCAGTGTTTATTGTACAACTGCTGCAAATGCAAATAATTTTAAATTTGTAGTAATTATATTCTTCCAGTAATGGTTCAGAACTTAAGGAGGAAGTTATAGCTCTGAAGGAAGACAATGAACTGAAGGAAGGGAAGATTCAAGGATATATAAGAAGATTTCAGGAACTAGGGGATAGTATGCATGACAAATCTTGCCAGGTAGTTATTGCCAGAAAAGAAGATAATATTCTCAAATGCATTTTGTAATTATCTTATTAACTTCACAACCTCTGTCTGCTGACATGTTGAAAATGTGCCTTTCATTAATGGATGATGAAAATTGACTGAGGATGTTTATTAACAATTTTAGGGTTAATGAAAATTTTTGACTGCATCAGGTAATTAGGTCTGATATAATTGAAGACAAATATTAAGTTTTCCAAATATTTTTTTAAATATTATTATGTTTAAAAATTTAGCATGAATGTACAGTTTTTCTCTAGTATTTCAGGACAAAGTAATGAAATCTAGAGTATCCCATCTCAGTAAAAGTGCATGTATAGTATATATATTGACAGGCTTCTTCTCCTTCTGTACATTAATGTTTAAATTGACAGGTTGTGATTGAAACACAGCCAAGAGGCAAATCAAGTGATGATAAGTATTTTGAAGAGTTAGATGTATGTCTAAACAAAGCTTTGCAAGAAAAGTCAGAACTTGTTAAACAAGTGGAGCAGCTCAAAACACAATTGAAGGAAAGTGTGGTGGAAATTGAGCAACTCAGCAAAGCAGTGAATGACAAGGATCAGGTAAAATGTGCCCAGTTTGAATCTTGATTAATATTTATTTTGGGTTTGCTCACAGCTGGAATGTAGCACGATATTAGCATGAAAGTGGTCAAGATTTCTTTCCAACCTTACAATAAAACTGTGATGTATTGTGCATTGTGTAACAAGTTGTGGTGTAACAGTTAGTACAATGAACCTCTCCCATGGAGAAACAAGTTATTTAATGTATACAGAGCATAACAGTCCTGGCATGTTCACCAGACTTTAAGTTTTGAATTCTGTAAATGTCATCAGTGACATCAGAGTTCTTTGGGATTAGTGACTTGTGTGGGCTGGGAGCCTGTTGTCTGACTGGATACCCCACATGGTTGTGAGGATGGTTGAAAATTTCTGACATGAGAATTCCATGGCCGAGGATTTACTCCCACTTACTTTTGTTTGCAGAAACGCACATGTAGGTTTTTATACAAAGTACCCATTATCATTGCTGATTTCAAGGAAAATAGGAGTGTTGACAGAGTTTAATAAAACTTTGGAGAGTAAAATTTTTTGCAAACTGTTCAGTTTACAAGTTTTTACATGCACATATTTAATAGGCATGCTTCAAGGTAGAGAAACATCTAAAAATTGAAAGCACTGGACAAACATTACATGGTACAACTATACCATCCAGTAGTATAACAGGGGTGGTTTCATAGGTAAGGTGACAAACCTCTTAATATCATTTTCACTAGTAACATGGTTCATATATTCTCCTGTCTGAGCTAAACATATTTAATAAAGATCAGTTATTCTTTTAATTTTCAGTCTGCAAAAGATATGCGCAAGGCTTTGACAGCAGAAGTAGCTGATAAACATGATCAGAATTTGGCTCTTCGACGTGAAATACAACTTCTGGAAGAGAGATATCGTCAAGCAGACATGCAAACACATTTCAGAGATGTTATTATTAAAGAAATGAGAAAAGATTTAAAAGTTGCAAGGTTAAAGGCAAGTACATTGACAGTTTACTTTGAATCTAGTATATACAGTTTTAACTCAGTGTTAAATTTGGATTTTGAAGTGTGGGATCTTATATTGAATGTTTTGTTTTGCAGCTTGCCTCCATTGACCTAGACCAGCAGAATCCTGTGGTATGTAATGGTCAGAAATGCATGTCTTCCTTTCTACCTTCTAATCATCCCACTTGCCAGTCACAATTCTCATCTGTCCAACCTAACAGTGAGTAAGAACAACACTGTTTACTTAATGTAACCTGTCGTCTTTATAGCCATCCTCATGAACACCAGCAGGTTCAGTTTCCTGTTAACAAATCAAACCATGATTTACAAGAGCACACATCTCCTGATAAACCTCATGATTCATGTCTTCCATACCAGCATCTCTGCACTCCTGAAAAGATAATTAGACCTGTTAGTGAGAAGTTATATAATGTCGAAAATACTGATGAAGCTCAAATTCCATCTGCCTGCAGATGTAAACCATTTCTAGAGAATATTCATTTGCCACACCCCCCAGACATGTCATTTCAGCTGGGTGATGAAGAAACATATTATGAAGTGCGTCGACGTAATACTCAGCCTTCCAGAGATGGGAAGATATCTGCTGATAGAAAGGTTGTGTCTGGTCCTAAAGTTGATACTGTACCTGTCCAGAATCATCCTAAACAGGTAGGATCTGGAGTAAAACATGTTCATCATAAATGTGCATGTGATAAAAAACATAATCCTACATTGAGCCAATCTTGTGATTATCATCATCATCATCATCATCATCATCATCATGAATGTCACCATCATCATTGATATTCAACCAAACTCTCCTCTACATAAAGTGTAAATTATAGCACCAAGCATGATTTGATCAAACATGACCTCCATGTTATGCATTATCACTCTTTTTGGTGTCATCAAAACAGTGTTCCCAGAAGACAGAAATCTTCATACTCACCGCTGTGAGAACCTCAAGTCTTACACAGTGTTATGGCTCTCTGATTATGAATGGCATTAGAGCCTAAATTGTTTAACTGCTTTTAATAGATGTTTTGTTTGTTGTTGTTTGTTAGATACCCTTAATTTACAATGTGTTTATTATTGTGAAGCATATAAAATTGGATTTCCTGTGCTTTTCTGGTAGCAAAGAGAAATGTATTTAATGAAAATTATGAATGTTGTTAGTGAAATACTGTCTCTGTCTTGTGTACTTAAAAATTAAATGTTTAATTCAATGTTCAAATTATCACTGCAGTTTTTCTTTAATTTTATAATGCGTAAGTTCACGTCATGTTACTGTTTTGTTCTTTCTGTAAAGACTATATCCTCATGAAGTTTTATTTGCTCATACAGTTTTACTAGTATATACATGTGCAGCATATTCATCAACAATCTTTAATCAGCAAAGGAAATTAAAAATTTTGCCTTTAAATAGGGCCTAGTATTTTAGAGAGTGTTGTGGAGTGAATCATGATTTTATGAAGAGTGTTCTAAATTAGTAGAACAAAGTAAAGTGCTAAAACTGTTATTAAATTATTGATTGTCTGTCTCCACAAAAATATATGTAAATTCCTGTAGTCATTTTTTTATAAACATTTTTTCATCATGCCCCATTACAAGATTGCAATATTACATGCATTAATATAAAACACTTTAATAGATTGTACAACTGTAGTGTCATGATACATTGTCACTGTTTCCACTTATGTTGCTGTGCTAAACTGTTTTATAATCAATGGACTTCCTGTAGTCATGCACTCATTGTACTATTAATATATGTCTTTCTATATTGGACATGTTTTGCACTCATTGGTTTATCTTACAGTCCCTCACTATTATCACAAACCACTTTGTTGCAGCAAAAAATATTTATTGAAGTAATTGATGAAAAAATAATAAAATATCAAATATATAAATTTACATATTTTATTGCTGTGTTATGCAACTAATGTTGTGTTAGTAAATATAGTCATAGTTGAAGGCTAAAATAAGATAAAAATTTATGTTGACAATCTTGGTTCTGTGTTGTGGCTGGATAGACATCAGAATATTAGATGTGTAGAGTATGCATACTGTCACTTATTCTGTTAGGTATGAAATAAGTATATTAAGATTTAACTTCCATGATCACAGTCTTGAATTGTGGTGCTGTATTATGGTGTGTCATTGACTAAACTCTACAATTGCTAAATTTTTCTTCTGTGGGAATTTGTGTTGTACTATTGAATATTTCTTTTGTGGTGCTTTCATTTGAACTTCAGTAGTTATAGGCTTATTATTTATGTGTGTGTGTGTGTATTCTATTTTCTTATCACTATTGTGCATGTGATGTGGTGAAATTTGTTGTGCTTTCTATTGACATTATTGTTCAGCATGTCAGATACAGTGGTTGCGGTCTTTAATGTTTGTCGTAGTGTACTGTGCAGTTTTTATTTAGTGCAGGTGATAGAAGGGGATGTTTAGGAGAGAAAGGCATATTATTTGTGGTAGTAGTTGAACAAAACATCAAAAATGGGATTATAACTATATGTATATACACTATTGACATACAGCATATAAGAGAAGATGTTTAACCCCAAACACAAAGAAATACTGTTAATAATTCTTCAAACATCTTTGTCTTTACCTTTTGGTGGTATGAGTTGCAGGTACCAGTTTCAGCATTTTGTAATAGAATTGAGAACTGAGTATAAAATTCAGGTATCCATTATTTGTAGTCATAGTTGTGTTTGTTAGATAAACCACAAGACACATGAAATTACTCAGATCACATGTAGTCTTATATGAAATTAAACATGGTGATCAAGAGTAAGGACATGAATGAAAATTCTGCCATTAACAATTCTGTAGTGAATATTGCTATTTTAGTCTTGCATTGATCAACAGTTAATGCTTAGAATTTGTCTTTTATGACAGTCAGTGGCTAGTATCATTGTGGTTGAACTTTGTTAACAGAAAGTATTTGTATTGCACAATTCTGTGTAATTTAGAAAAACATGTTAATATGGACTGGAGATTTATTAAAGAGAACTCTTGAAATGAAGTCCAGTATCCAGTCAGCAATATAATTTTATCACTTTTGTGTTATACTTAGCATTAAGTAATATAGTACATGTTAGTGTCTCGTCATCAGAAGACAGGCGGGCAAAATTATCTTATGGTAGCTAATAAGTCCTTTGAAAGGGTTACAAAGTTCAAATATCTGGGAACAACAATAACAAATCAAAATGATACTCATGAGGAAGTTAGGAGGAGATTAAATTCTGGAAATGCTTGCTACTTCTCAGTTCAAAATATTTTGTCTTCCCGTCTGATTTCTAAAAACCTGAAAATTAAAGTTTACAAAACAATAATCTTGCCTGTTGTTTTGTATGGGTGCGAAACATGGTCTCTCCCTCAGAGGGAGGAACACAGATTGCAGGTGTTTGAGAATCGGGTGTTGAGGAGGATATTTGGGCCTAAGAGGGAAGACGATGGGGCGTGGAGAAAACTGCACAATGACGGGCTTAAAAATCTGTACTGCTCCCCCAGTCTTGTGAGGGTGATTAAGTCGAGAAGAGTGAGATGGTCTGGGCATGTAGCGCGCATGGATGGGACAAGAGGTGTGCACTGGGTACTGGTTGGGAAACCTGAAGGGAAGAGACCGCTGGGGAGACCTAGACGTAGATGGGAGGATAATCTCAGGCGGGATCTATGGGAGATAGGAGTTGAAGGAAACTGGATTTTGTTGGCCCAGGACAGGGTCCGGTGGAGGGCTTTGGTTAATTCGGTGATGAAACTTCGGGTTCGGTAAGCCATCTAGTTAGTTAGTTAGTTAGTTAGTATTTATTGTTGAGAGAAAAAATTTAATTTGCATGAGGGTATTATACAAACTGATACAATTTTATGAAGAAATTATTAATATGAATGTTTAAAAGGATATATAGTACTTTCTCTGGTCCTTATGTATAACACATTTTCTCATGGAATTCTTCTCCAGGAAATGATTAATAAGGATACTATAGAACACTTGAAGAACAAGCTACTCATGAAGGATAATACAGTAAGTAATATTTATACCTATTTTGCAATTAAAAGTTTGATATCATATGTATTAATTGTTACTTTTCTTTGGTATCATTTAATGGGGCTTTAGAATATTAATTTATAAATAAGTTATTTGTTGGTATGAGACCTAGCTTACATTATGAAATCTGTGTTTGTATGCAAAACAGCCATGGCTGCTTGCAGGAGAATTATAGTTAATGTTTGTTTGCAGATAAAGAAACAGCAGGAAAACATACATGATTTACAAAATACTTTAAAGAAATATCAAAATGATTTAAATGATCTCCATCTTAAAACTAAGAAGACCAAAATGGAATTGGAAGATTTCAAATTACAGTGTATTGAACAAGTAAGTTTCTTCAACAATTGTTTAAGTGCTGTAGTAGTGCTATATTTCCATACCAAGTGCTTGAAAGAAGACTAGTATGAGAGAATTTAATATCTTTCGTGGAATTGAAACTGTTACAGAATTTTACATTGGAAGGCCAGATATTATTTTTCTGTTAATCAGTAGAATATTCCATTGTCCATTGCATACCATAAATGGACATTGTTCTGCCTGACTCCTTATCTAAACACCCATATAATTTCTGTTTTCACATGGGATGTGAGATTTATAAGATGCATGATGCAAAGGTGTCATATCCTGATTACAGTGCATGATAGTCCATGACTTTTCATGAAGCACGTTGTTTTCCGGTCTTAATTACTGATTTGGGTTGAAGTTCAGCAATGTGAATTCTAAGGTGAAAAATGTGTTATGCTGTAATGTATTTGTTACTGTATGTGTAACAATAAGTTCTTTTGAATAATGACAGTAAATTTGAACTTTTGATGCAATTAATGTTAAAACACTTTAATAATTCTGAATTGACATTTCCATATCCAGAAACTTTATTTGCAGTGGATCTCAATCCTGTTATATACAGTTTGTCCCTAAAAGATGTATGTACACATTCAGTGAATGAAATAAATACAATTTAATAAAGTAAACCATTACTTACGTCAGCATTGGCACTTGGTGAATTAGCAAATCGAGTGTAGGTGTTCAAAATGATCACTGATAGCTTTGTGGCATAATTGACAGTGGTGAGCAGTTGACTGAAAAGAGCCATCAAAGTTGCTGCTGTGTATGGGATACTGTATAATTTTCTTTTATGTCTAGGGTCATGAGAATATTCCAAATAAGAGCAAGCAAGATGAGGCAGTTCTAGTGACATCAGAAGTACAGACTCAGCACTTTCTATTGCCAGAGGTAAAATGAAGATGGAATGTTACTTTTCTGTGTTTTATACTTTAGTTTCTTTTGTGTTAAAATGAACTTTGGAGAAATGAAATCTCTCCTTGTTACTCATTGCCATAGTGTTAGTATCCTTCCAGGACAGGACTGTAAAATGGATGTTCTTCCTCATTGTTCTAAGTTCACAATTGATTTTGTATAACTCTGATATGGCATTGTTAAATAAATTAGTAAATGGTGCCCTTGTAATTTCTGTTTGAAATCATTATTGTAAAAATGACCTTCAGCTAAAAAGATTTTGAATAATGTGCACAGTAGTTTATAAAATTGTATGTTGCATTGAGACTTTATGAGGTTTTGCCTGGTTGTGTTAATCATAAAATTCAGGACAGTAATTCTTTTAAGAAAATTAGAAGTAATATATGCAAATTGGATGTGTCCCCTTCTTGTTGATCAAATACAATGATTCTAACTGTTCTGTCACTTGTTGATGCATTTGTAGTATTTTTCTTCCTGATGTTCAGTTCCTTTGTCACATATTGGATAAGAATTTTCTGAATCCCTTTCCTCTATAGTTATGTTTGTGTTCGGGAATTAAAAACTAATTAGGTGCTAGGTAGTTTTTAAGAATAAACACATAGATATAAATTGTAAAGAATCATCCTGTTGCAGTTTATTGTTAAACACTAATATTTTGGTCCATCAACATCATGCAACTTACAAACACCATGTGCTGTTCTCAACACATTAATTGTTATTAATAATACATTGTTAATATTACAAGTATGATGATTCTTTACATCATATTTTGGCTGATGTCGGCTGTCTCTAGGTAGCTTTAACTCCACTTGTCAATTGTAACATTGATCATCTCTTCAGTTTTCAGGGGATCATGGTGGATGTATTGTACAATACCTGAATAAGGATGAGGATGAGTTCAGAACCTTGAATGATCTCATTGAACAGATAAATGAACTTTCTGATATTCTGAAAGCAAGAGAAAGTAAGGTATTATATTTTAAATAACCTGCAAGCTGTTAAAGTTGAATTTACAGCAGTTTGTTTGTGCACCAGTCTTTCTTCTTTTAACCTGTAATATTTTTTCTTAACATGGAATTCGGTTCACTTTCCATTGCATTAACTAACTAACTAACTAGATGGCTTACCGAACCCGAAGGTTCATCACCGAATTAACCAAAGCCCTCCACCGGACCCTGTCCTGGGCCAACAAAATCCAGTTTCCTTCAACTCCTATCTCCCATAGATCCCGCCTGAGATTATCCTCCCATCTTCGTCTAGGTCTCCCCAGCGGTCTCTTCCCTTCAGGTTTCCCAACCAGTACCCGGTGCACACCTCTTGTCCCATCCATGCGCGCTACATGTCCCGCCCATCTCACTCTTCTCGACTTAATCACCCTCACAATACTGGGGGAGCAGTACAGATTTTTAAGCTCGTCATTGTGCAGTTTTCTCCACGCCCCATCGTCTTCCCTCTTAGGCCCAAATATCCTCCTCAACACCCGATTCTCAAACACCTGCAATCTGTGTTCCTCCCTCTGAGTGAGAGACCATGTTTCGCACCCATACAAAACAACAGGCAAGATTATTGTTTTGTATACTTTAATTTTCAGGTTCTTAGAAATCAGACGGGAAGACAAAATATTTTGGACTGAGAAGTAGCAAGCATTTCCGGAATTTAGTCTCCTCCTAACTTCCTCACAAGTATCATTTTGATTTGTTATTGTTGTTCCCAAATATTTGAACTTTGTAACCCTTTCAAAGGATTTATTAGCTACCCTAAGATAATTTTGCCCGCCTGTCTTCTGATGACGAGATACTAACATGTACTTAGTTTTTTCTGAATTTACTTCCAGCCCCACTTGTCTACCAGCCTCTAGTAAAACTTCTGCGTTCCTCTTTATTGTATTTATATCGTCCCCCAATAAATTAACATCATCAGCATATGCCAATAGCTGATGTGTCCCGTTCAATTGCAAACCCTCCTGCCTACCTTGGACCTTCCTGATGGCGTATTCTAGCGCAAAGTTAAAGAGCAAGGGAGACAAAGCATCTCCTTGTTTTAGACCGTTCTTGATGAGGAATGTCTCAGATACATATTTACCTACTCGAATTTTGCTGCAGGTTTCATTTAAGCACATTTTTATTAGACCCACTAGCTTCTTTGGTATACCAAATTCAATAAGAATATTATATAGCACTTCTCTCTTCACAGAGTCATAGGCTTTTTTGAAATCTATAAATAACTGATGTACAGTCCCACCGAACTCCCATTTTTTCTCTAGTATCTGACGAATGCAAAAGATCTGATCAATCGTTGATCTGTTTCGTCTGAACCCACACTGATGATCCCCAATAGTTTCATTCGCATATGGGGTTAATCTTGCCAAAAGAATGTTGGATAGAATTTTGTATGAGGTTGATAGCAGCGATATTCCTCGGTAATTACCACACTCAGTCTTGTCCCCCTTCTTATAAATAGGAATAATTATGGATTCCTTCCATTGATGTGGCATCTCTTCCTTATCCCAAATTAACTGAATAAGCTTATGGATCCTCATATGCAACCCTTTGCCACCTGCTTTAATTAATTCGGCCGGAATCTGATCAATTCCTGGAGATTTATAACTTTTCAACTTCCCAATGGCTAGTTCCACTTCATCTAAGCTAGGTTCTGGCACCAACAGTTCAGCTGTATGCATTTTAATCTGTCTAATATCACCAGTATTATGAACATTTAAGAGCTCGCTAAAGAAATTTTTCCACCTATTCACAATTTTTATTGGATCTGCAAGCAAATTGCCACTATCATCCTTTACCAAATTAGTCTGGGGTTGATATCCTTTCTTAAAGTTATTAATGCCTCTGTACAGGTCTCTGATGTTTTTTTCCTTATTATTTGTCTCAAGTTCAGCAATTTTGCCCTTCAGGTATTCCCTTTTCTTAGTCCTAAAGGTTCTACTAGCCTCACGTCTCACGTTACATAGATTATCCGCATTTGTTTTGTTTGGGTTCTGCAACCATTGAAATTTTGTTTGCTTCCTTCGATCTATTAATTTTGAACATTCTTCATCAAACCACGGTTTATTTTGCTTTCTCCTGTAGTATCCTAGTTTCTCTTTTGCTGAAATTTTGATGCAGTTTCTGACATTTTCCCACTCCCTGTTGATGTCCACACTTTCATTATCCTCATTTGTCTCTAAAATTTGAAACCTATTCGAAATTTCAACTTGATATTGTTCCTTTGCCTCTCCCTCACTTAATTTTTTCAAATCAAATCTTTCTGTGTCAAAATTTTGTTTAGTTCGTCTACTTACTGAAAGCCGCTCCCTCACTTTTGCTACCACCAGATAATGATCAGTGTCGCAATCTGCTCCTCTGAATGATCTCACATCAATTACATTTGTCTGCCTTCTCTTATCTACTAAAACATGATCTATTTGATTGTGTGTTCTGCCATCTGGGGAAGTCCAAGTGTATTTATGAACATCACGGTGTGGAAATTTTGTACTTTTTACAATTAAATCTTTTGACGTAGCGAAGGTCACTGCTCTGACGCCATTATCATTACTAAGTGCATGGAGACTCTCGCTGCCTATTGTGTGTTTGAAGATATCCTCCCTCCCAATTTTTGCATTGAAATCTCCTAGCGGAATTTTCATGTGATACTTGCCAAATGTATCAAATACTGATTCCAATTCTTCATAAAAGCTATCCTTGATATCATCGCTTTTGTCTTCAGTTGGGGCATGAACATTAAGGACAATGATGTCGCACCAACGTCCTTCCAAAATTACGTAAGACAACCTGTCACTAACAAATTCTACTCTCTTAACTGCTGCCCTAATTCTGCTATGAACAAAAAAACCCGTCCCTAGCTGATGATTGTCATTCCCCTTTCCATAGAAAAATGTAAAATTGTCCACTGGGATCGTGCCCTCCCCCTCCCATCGCACTTCCTGCACTGCCACTAAGTCTAACTTATAATTCCCTAATTCCCTACCCACTGATTTCAGTGCCCCAGCCCTATAGAGGCTCCTAATGTTCCAGGTACCAAATCTCATGTCCTTTTTCAATTGCTGTGGTCGTGCCAAAGAGTCCGTCCTGATCCGAGGCTTGGTTGATTTTTTCGTAACACATATTTTTTTTAAAGGTGAAAGGTTGTTAGCCCTACACCCAACCCCCAACCTGGAGGACCAGGGTATCACTCTTAGTCTAGCGCATCTCCTTAGACCTGTCCGGCTTGGGTGACCCTACCATGAGCCGAAGCTCAGGCCGGCATAGCCCTAAGGGTCATTTGAGCACGCAAGCCTCCTCACCCGGCAGATTGCCTTCGACAAGGTGGTGATACCTTCGAGAAGGCTTTCCATTGCATTGCATTTTTAAAAATATTTAGACAGCTGTAGGAATTATTGAAGTTAATAATTAAAATTAAATGAATAATTTGTTAAATGGTACTTCTTTCTTACTAGATTACTGTCCAAGATGTTATGATAAGCAATCTTCAGAAAAAAGTGAAGGCATCCCATGTTGAAGTAGTAATGATAAAGGAGAAGTGTGAAAAATATGTAAGTCTTCAAAATAGTGTTGTCTTACAGTTCAGTGAAATCTCTTTTCATTATTTCTGTTGAAGGCAATGGATTTGATACTATGCCAAGGAATACCTTAATTAAAGAAATATTAACACTGATAATGTAACTAGGAAACCTCCAAAAAAAGAGGTGGCAAAGACCCATAACTGGGTTGTAGAGCCAAGGAGTCCTAATGATGAATGTTGGCATTTCAGTGCATGTATGTATGTAAATATGTGTTATTTCTTATATGGTATTTCTAGTTACAAGATATTCAGAAGACAGAACAGAATCAAGCAGGCTGTGAGAGAAGAATTAAAGAACTTAATGATGTTCTGGAAAGATCTTATACAGACCTTCAGGATTCTCTTAACAGTATGGATATTGGAGAAGTGAGTTGATGCTTTCCTGTCTTTATACATACTTGGTCATAATTAGTGAATGCAGTAAGTAATTTATCATCATTTGGCCTGTAGTTATTCATTCAGAGATATTTGTTCTCTGAATTACAGTTTTTTAATAGGAGAGTATTTTTAAATTAGTAAAGTTATTTTTATATTATGTTGAAATGTAATGCAGATTTATATTGCAGAATACAACATGCATACTGTGTGATCAGAATATGAAAAATTTCCGCCAGAGATATGATGAAAGTCAAGAAACATTCAAGAATTTGAAAGCGGAATTTAGTTACTTATTATTCAATTTGAAGTCACATGAGAAACAGGTTGGTTCTGATTTTCTTTTTTAGGGAGGTTTTCATGTTTGAGGCTAAGACCAGAAGAAACTTAAGAAATTATGCTTTTGCAACTCATATTAAACCATGACACTTCTTGTATTCATTTTTCATTTTAATTAATATTTTTGACATGCTGTGTTCAGTTATTCATTTTGATATATAATTTATTAATCTTGTTAATCTTTGTTTAAAGAATTGTGTATAGGTGATTTGTCATTGATAGTGAGAAGATAAGCCATTCTGTTTATTTGTGTATGTGTGTTTGTTTTCAAGCCATTTTAGAGTTTAAATTTGAGGATGGTGTAAACCTGACCTTGAATTTTCATTGTTTCTCATATACAATTTATGTCATTTTTGCACATTTTGTTTCATATTATGGGACAGATGTGTACATTCAAAGAGAGAATATCTTGAGATGACAGCATAATATGAAAAGGGTAAAACAATTTATTAACATGCTGTGATCAAGATTTCTGATCAGATTTGAGCATCCCTTATATAATGGCTACTGGTTGTCATAGCTTTCTTCATATTCTCTGTGTTCACAGTAATTTATGGTACATAATAGCCAGAATTTCCAAGTTTCTGTATACAGCAATCGGTGTTAGCATATGTAGTTTTAGGTTCTTATAGCAGCTTTGATGTCAGTGGTGGAAATTATGGGTTGTGATGCTGTGTGAACTTCAGTCCTGATGGTGGATATTCCATTGAGATGTTAGTACCCATCTACAAGTCTCTATGGCATCACAACACAGAAGACCAACATAGAGATCTGTGTTTAGTCTTTCAGTAACAAGACAAGACATTAAATAAATATTAGGTACAAAAGGAACATGATATATAATCACATATAATAGTGGTTAATTCAGGAATGTCTTGTATTTTATTTTTAGGTTACATATCATGGAGGTATGATTGATTCCCTTAACGAAGTATTACAGAGAAATCAGTGTGACCTTGAAGATATTCTGAGTAAAACGTCTGTTTTTGTAAGTTGCATTTACCAGTAATTGTAAAATAGCTGGTGAAGTAGTGAAGCAGAATAATGTGTGCATTGTAAATTTCTGTTCCTTGATATTGACTGTTTTTGTAGTAGTAGTAGTAGTAGTAAAAAAAAAGTAACAGCAACAACAATTATAATAATAAAGACTCTTTTTACTGCTACTACTACTACTGTCATTTCATTATTAATAGGATATTTGTGCTATAAAGTGATATTTTGTGAACAAATATTCTTATTGGTGTAAAAATCTTTCTATTCACATTCTTATATTGTGAAACTTTTTTACCATGTTTTAAAAGGAGAAAGTGTACCAGTTGCCATAAACATAAAAAATTAGCAAGAATAAATTAAAATCTTATAATTTTTTATGCATATATTTCACCATCACATTCACCAATACTGACTAGACCAACATGAGAGTCATTAACAGTAAATTACTGTGAACAAATGTAGTTTGATGTCATGCTGTATTCAAATATCATTTGTTGACATTGGTGTGGTGATGGCTTAAGTAGTACTATTAGAATGAGTTAACAACATACTATGTGCACTAAAACGAATTTGACAGTTGAAGAAAAAATGACAAGCCTTTACTTTATAAATCACTGTAGAAAATTGGGGTTTAAGAAACATCACTTGTTGGAGGGTAAATTTTGTTCAACTGCATTTATTTTCTCATCTCTAATTTTTATTTTCAGTATAATTAAATTTGTAAGTAAAGTTTGTCCCACTATATGCCATGTAGGCGTTTGGGGTGAGTGGAGGTATAGCTCCTTTCTTCCTTGACCTCGGCACTAGATGGGGGTGAGTGGTCAGCATCACGCCCCGGCCGGCTTTACCCCCGGGAAAAGACCCCGGTACCCATTGGATAGGAGGCTGGGTGGGCCCCAGAGCCGGTCTGGACACAGAGGCTAGAGGAATAATCCTCTGCCCCCGTCGGGGATCGAACCCCAGTCGTCCAGCCCATAGCTAGTCACTATACTGACTGAGCTTTGTATTTGTAGTAAATGTCTTACTCCCAAATTTAAAAAAAATGTCCTTCTTCTTCTTGAACTGGTATTTATTAGGCTTGTTAAGCCTGTGATTCTCCCAAGATCTGGTCTTTCCATCTTTTCGTGGGACGACCTCTGTTTTGTGTTTTCATTGGTTGGTGTTTAAGCAATAATTATGGTAGTCTCTCATTTTGCATCTTTTCTGTTTGCTCTTTCCAATTCTTCTGGTATATTTGAATTTAATTTTCAAAACATTATCATTATTTGTAGTCAAAAGAAAAGCGGGCTTTTCATGTGGACCATGAAGAGTGTGAGCAGAAGATTGAAAGATTGGAGAAATCTTTAAAACATTTCCAAGAGGAAAGGCAGAAATGGTACTCAAAATTGGAATCACTTGCAGAGGTAATAAATAGTGGACTTTGTGAAGTTTTGCAGGTTGATGAATTATATTTAATTTTCACAATTATTTGGTCAAAATATAAGGAAAGGTCATATAGGGTACAGCAGTAAGGTGGAAATTGTATTAACAGTGTTAAAATTCTTTGGGTATCTCAAATTCTGCATGTCATATTTATTTTGTTTCTACATACTGATGCATTCTTACATTTTCACATATATCAGTAACTAAGTTTTGGTGCAGTGAATGTTCAGTAAACCAGAAAAACTCAAAAACATGTACAGTCAGTGGATCTGTGTTTTATCTGTAGTTTTATGAAGTTTGTAAATATTAAACTTGAAAACTAGTTTAAGATATAATTGGTTATGTTTTTATTCCATATTTAAGTTTTAATACATATTAAGGATAATAAAGGAGGAAGGAGTGTTGCTTAAGAAAACATAAGCCTACAGAGATACTGATAGGAAACATGTCCTTGCCTGCAGAGGCACTGATTCGAAACATAAACTGACAGGGTCATTGGTAGGGAACAAGCCTTTAGAGACACTGAGTGGAGTCACAAGGTCATAAGAGACACCAGTGATTGGTTACAGTTCTTGTATTTAGGTATCACCTATCATGACCTTCCTAGCTTCTGCCCTTCTAGACAAGGGTGTAGATACCCTTAGTGTGGATTAAAACACTGATGCAAAAACACTGCGTTTTACATTTGCACTGTGAATTGTTTGTTGTATTTTGGAGGCCTTTGGTTATAGTTTTAGGAGACAAAAGGTGAGGAGGAATCATTAGTGTATGGTGTATATTTACATATTTGCTTATGGTCCACAAAGGTGTAAACCTTCAGATTAAAAGGAAAATAGTACAGAATTTGCATTGCATTTCTGTGTTAATGCCATTTAAGTCTGTCTTTTCCTTTTTTCTCAGAATAAGACTGCTGAAGTGCTTCAAGAAGAACACGAAAGCTTGAAAGCTGAAATTGAGAAACTACAAAACAATTTAATCTCAAGAGAAAAAGTTGTATGTAATAATTATTTTCAAGTAGTAATTTCCTTCTTCCAAGTCTATAAGGCCTGCTATAATCTGTCCTGATTTCCTCGTTGGTTTCATATTTGCTTTATGTAGTCACATAATTTGCCTTGGTGCATAATTTGTTTGTCTGTTTTATTATAGTGTATCTCAATTTTGGTCTTCCAAATAGAAATGCTTTAAACCTCATCCTGCTTCCTCCTAATGTGCAGTTTGAGTATTACAGTGTTCCATCTACATTTAAAAGTTTGGCTGTGTGTGTTACTGGCTTTAGCTGTCTTCTATCTACATATATCTTGAATATTTAATCAGTTTGATGACATTTCTGATGACATCGAGATGTTATTTATGGATACTGACTTGCATTTATTTAAAATCATTGGTTTCTGTAGGGTTTTCAGCAGTAACTGTCTGTTTGTTTTCCTGACATGCTTGAAGATTCTTGTACTGTTGTACTTGATACTAAAAAGTAAAGCTGTCCCACTGTATGCCATGTAGGCACTTGAGGGGAGAGGAGTTATAGTTCCTACTTATTCTTAACCTTGGCATTAGGTGGGGGTGAGAGGTTGGCATCATGCCTCAGTCGCACTTTACCCCCTGGACTGGACCCCGGCTCCAATTGGATAGGAGGCTGGGTGGGTCCCAGAACCAGTCTGGATGCAGAGGCCAGAGGAAAAATCCTCTGCCCCCATTGAGGATCGAACCCCAGTCGTCCAGTCTGTAGCCAGTGACTACACTGACTGAGTTGTCCCAGCTGTACATGATACTAACCGAACATAAACTTTCCCCATCACCCTCTCTCTTCCAAATATCAATATTTACCGTTTCATGAGCTGTTCTGGAGACTAACCCTGAAGATGGCATGTGTTTCAGTTCTAATACTACTATTCTTCTGTTGCTTAAGAGGCATGGTGTATTCAGTAATGGAGTGCACTGAGGTATTAATACCCTATTACAATAGTTTGCAAGAAATATAATTAGTTTATTGTTGCAGGGTGACTAGTTTGTTCATAGTGTCTTTTACTATACCTACTTCAACATGGACATAATATTGAATAACTTTTAGTCTCATTACATATTGGTTCTAAACTGCCAACTTTCTGACAGAGACTGAAACTTGTGTTGTTATTTACAGTATCACTATAGCAATTGAGGAGTGACATTTACAGCCTTACAGGATATAACTCAGATTGCTGCTGTGTGCTCTAATTTTTTTATCTGAAGTTAGTATAATTTTCAATACTTGTTATACAATCTTTCCTAATGTATTGTTTAAACAAACATTAGGTATTGGCGCATGTTTGTAGATAGGATTTTTATGTTGAAAGTGATGGCAAAGTGGATATTTAGTGCATTACATTTTATAGTTATAGTAGCTTCTGACATCTAGCACCAAGCATATGAAGTTTTAACATGACTTCAATTGCTGATTTTCTTTTTTAGGCAGCAAATCAAGAACAAATTATAAATATTCTGCAGGATTCAGTAAATATTGCACAGAAAGAACAGCAAGACTTCCAGCAGAAACTGAAGGATGCAGTGAGTTTATTAAAAATAATACTATTCAATTTCTTCTGAAAATCTGGATTATGTTTGTGGACCTTGTCCATCAACTGATGTTATAAAACATGTAGGGTTTTGAGAACTGGATCTGTCTTTGTCTTCAGGGATAGTGAAGGGGACTAGGACAAGGTCAAACAATCAAGATTGTGTTACATCATCATTAGAACCCTTCAGAATTGGTCTTTTGAAAACATTTATTGGTTTTTCATTTAAAATGTTTTTGTTTCAGGAGGCTGAAAAAGAAATGTTATTAAATGCTCTACAAGAGGAACAAAGGAAGGTAATGTGTGATGTTATATTCATACATGTAACAAGATTATTTACTAGTACATGGATAAGATTACAGTGACATTTCATTAATATTATGCTGCTGATTAGTACAGGAACTTGTTAATTTATAGTTGCTGGTGAATATAAATATTATGACCTTAGTGCTGTTTGCCTTTAGCTAAACAGAAGAACGTAGATTTGGCTGGTTGGCATTGCCATAGCAGGTATTTAATTGTAAATACTATCTTATTCTGTTTTATGAGGCAGTAGATATATGATTTATGAATTTTTATATTATTGATAATGTTGATTGGGACCATGGGACCAAGACTGAGCTTCAGCTGGACCTCCATAACAGTAATCATATAAAGTTTAAAGTAAATTGACAGAACTGAACCAACAGTTACTGAGCTACTTGAATTATGATTTACAACTTTACTGACCTTTAAAATTATTCTGTTTATCTATAAAAATGTGGAAATTTCAGTATTTAGTTTTGGTACAGTTAAGTTGCTGCTTAATGTGGATACATGCTTCTGCAAACAAATTTTATGACATCATTTTATTTGTCATGGTGATGGACAGATATTTATTTAGAAGTCTAACATGTTATGCAGTGAAATTACACAGTAGTTGGTATAATTTTATTTTTAGAATTGTGTACAAACACTGGATAAGTAAACATAATTCTCTTTAGGCTACTCAACTCGCATAAAGAGTGGTTATAATTAAATAGGATATGAGGTTCTCACAGTAGTGAGAACAAAGATGGCTGTTGTCTGGTTGTAGTGCTGTGTAGTATGGTAGAAATTTGCTGGCATTTTAGAGGTTCTGGCTGCCTCCATCACCATGGCAGTTGCCCTAGGTAACTTCTGCCACACAACATAGTGATATAGCCCATATGACTGTCATCTTAGTGGCTCTCATTATTTGATAGATTTGAGGCTGTTTGGCTGTCCTAAGGTTTCTCACAGGTTTTCATGTTCCCTCATAAGCTTCAGAACAGACATAATAAGTGTAAACCAGTAAAAGAAACATGAATGTATGTTTCTTTCATTTTTATTTGTATTCACTATTTATCATATACTGAACTCTGTCATTGTAGGCTGTAAATCTGCAGGAGGCGTTGCTGGCCACTAAACAACAGCTTGAAGACCTTCAGGGGAACAAATATGAAGTGAGTGTGAATTCTGGCATGTCCTGGGGGTGGTCACACTCCAACAAAAATGGTCATGTTAACAAGTGGACTGTGCATGATGTCTGATTTTTGGGAACAGTATGCAGTTTTAGATTATCAGTAACTGACTACATTTTCATGAACAGTTTGAAGTTTTGAGATATCCCAATCAGCTTTAAGGTACTTGCCTTAGCATTTAGTATTGTGATTCTCAACATTCATTGGTACACCTTAATAGGTACCCATTTTAGTACTCCATTTATTCAGTCATGAGAAGGATTGTGTTCAGAATGTTTTTACTACCTGACAAATTTTATACAGTCTTCTAAGAACTGATAACAGTGAGGATGGAATGGAAGGTATGCTTTTAGTTTAGATTTTATCTAAAGTGTATAGTGTCAGCCATCCTTACATTTTATAAAAAATGGCAGAAATTTGAGTTTAGTCAGTATGCCAAACCAATAATATTTATGAAGCTAGTATCACGCTGAACAGTAAATATTAGGTGAAAACAGTGTTCACTTAAGTGGAACATCTGGTTTTGTTAGTAATGCTCATGTTTTTTAATAAATGCATTTTATAGCAGGTATCTCTTTCAACAACAGAGAATAACAGCTCATAAATGAATGCCTGCATTTGCTGTATGTGTGCAATTTTGATAATTGTCTTTGTCAGTTAGTTTGCATTTGTGAACCATGATGTATGTTATATTATGACTAGCTTAATTCAGGGTAGAGATGGTACTGTTTATTGAATGCTGTAAAAGAACATTCCATTGTGTCTAGTTTCATGAAGCCAAGGTCATTATTGATTGAATTCTATCTTTGAGATTTCAGCTACATTGCCTTTTACTTGCCCAACATTTTACTGACAAAACTAATGTTGATGAGTAAATACTATAAGAATTATAATAATGTGTGATATTGCCATTTGTTAATTTTTGATGGTTTTTCTGCGTAGTCCATAACTAGGAAACTCCTTGTCACTGGGAATTCCACCAAAGGTAAAATCAACAGTGAGTGCTGCTGCTTTTACAATTTTACTTGCCATATTAATTCTGTAATTGTAGCTGTTACAATGACAGTCAAAATGTTTGTCTCTGAAATACTCAAAATTCAATAAATATTACATTGAATATCTTCAGTTAGAAGTATAATTAAAAAGTTGGAGGCTGTAGACACAGGTCACAAAAACATGCTTTGATAGTTCAGGCTCTGTTTTGAGTGACAGATAATTCAAAGTTATAAAAAGAAATATGTGCTTGGAGTAATTCTTTTGGTTTTAAATACTGTATGCAGAATGTATATATAATGATACTTAAATAAGATTTAAGTGTTTCCATCCTTCATATTTAGAGGGGAAAAAACTTCTAGATTATTCAGTGTGACAGTTCCAAGTCAGAACGCTGTAACACATCTAATGTTAATTGGGTTTCTGGTTTCATGTTAAACATGTAAGGTGTTCTTGGCCACTTTTACTTTACTGTCTGGCATTATGGAACCCAAACATTTATCACTGTCAACAACATAATACCTTTGTGCATATATCATGTCCTTTCTCATTGTAGCCCATATCAGAATCAAATTTTTATATTGTATACTTTAGTATTCCAAATAAGTTAACATTATTTTGTATATGGTAACCAGCATCTCAAAGGAATCTACTTTCTTCATCTGTCATTAAGTTGAGGGAAGCAAATTCTTCAGAGATTTTGAACCACAAATAAGGCTCTACATTTTCTTTACCCAGAAGACCACAATCTAAATTTTCTCTGCTGTGAATACCTTAAATCTCATACAACATATTTTAGGTATGGAATTTAGATGCTGTTGGACCAATATTTTTATTTTTAGAAGTTATAAAATTGTTTGCTTAATTTCTAGGGTGAAAGTATAATTTACATCATGGTTCTTTTTTGCATCACTTGGAAACATTTGAGAATGTAGCTTGCGTTGTATGGCAGTAACTTTGTGCTAACCATATATTAGTTGTTGAACTAACTGTGACAGTTTTATACTAACATGTACTGTTAGACAATTAAGTATATCATGCTTTGCATTTTACTTAGTGTTTACTTATATGGCCAGATAAGTATTATATGTGTACAGCTTTGAATATTAAGCATTTTTTGAATTGCATTTTTGAAAACAAATGTGATTAACTCCTGTACAAAATTATAGTATTACAGTGTAAGTATTAGTGTTTGTAGTTTTGCACAAAGTCATTCTAGCCCTACTTTCTGGACTTTAAGATTCTTCCTGTGGTTTATACAAGGAGAAAGGTATGTCATATATAATATAAATCTGCATGTTATATGCAAAGAATGGTAAAGCATTGTAAATGGTTTTCTTCCCTGATACTGGGACCATAAACAACTGAGTAACACTCTGGGAAACAATATTCGCAAATCTTAGATTGGAATCCTTATGAACATCAGAAAAGTAGAATCAGAAGGGTCCAGCATTAAGACTTTGTCAAAACACTGTTCTGCCTTCAGTGTAGTTGATTACATTCAGATGTAGCTAACAGCAACTGTGGGTTTGTTGTTGTGCTGCAGTACTGAGTGTATTGGTTAAAGCATTCATAATTCCACTCTCTCCAAATAATGTAATGATTATTCTGTCACAGGATTGTATTGGAATTTTCTTGTGTTAATGACATATTGTGGGTTTCACTTATATTTATTTGTTACTGTGTTGGGAGTCTTGTCCCAATAGATTTAAGTAGCTTGCTTTCAAGGCTTCATTTGAATCTGCATAGAGAAAGTGGCATGATGTATAAGTACTTGCAGGTTCTAGAAAAAGTCGTTAGTTTGCAGGCTGTGATGCTGAGAAATGTCAGGTTTGAAATGATTATGAATTTTGAACTTTTCTCCGTATTTTGGTTCGACATTTTTTTTGGTGTTGAAGCGACTTTATTGGCAACTGTACTTGTATATAGGGTTTTCTTCTGTAGCTACAATCCTTCATTGGTTTGAGATCCACCTGTATTACTTGTCTTTAGTACTTAGCAGTAGTTTTATGCAGCTGATGCATTGTGGCTGAAAATGTACATACAAATGAAAGCAGCTTTGAAATTCTAAATATCTAAAATAGTGGATTCAAAATCGTTAATTAATACACCCATAAAAGTCAAAATAAATTTATGTAGCTTTCATATTGGTGAAGGGTGCCAATTTTAAAATTACTCAGTCTACAACATGGGATTTTATTACAATTTATGAAATTTTTTCTTTGGAGTTTTCTATATTGAAATGACAAAATTGGTAGATTCTATGTGATATTCAGACTTCAGACAATTTTGTAGTCTTTCTGATAATTGTGAAGGATCACATATATAGAGATTGCTACATGTATTAAATTAACAGAGTCCTCCATTGTTTTTGTACAAAATGTGATACATACAGGAACTCGGAACTTTAAGTGAAACTGTTTGAACAGATCATAGGCTTATGTAATGATGTTATTTGCAGCCTTGATTTCATTGAAAGGCCCTGACAGTTAAATGACCAGTTGATGCTTAATATATTACCTTCTTCTGTTACTGATTGCTCTTTGTATGACTCCCATTTTAAATTGAATGGGGTTTTATGTAAGGATGATAATTATTTAACATATTTAATATATAATTTATTTAATGAAATATGTATGTATTTATATTATATATGTTTTCTAATGAGTTTCTTCTGTGATGCCCTTTTCTGTTAAAGAAATCTAAACTGAAGAAGAATAAGTAACAACTGATGAGTTTATTAACAGTATAAATAATCAACTTGGCAGTGGATTCTCATGTTACATACAGTAAACCATCTAAGAAGTTCAGACATCTGTAATAAAAGATTGCATCAGATATTGTCTGCTCAATTCAAATTATCTGACATTGAACTTTTAACAGTAGCAGATTGGGTTTACTGACTGTACCAGACATAAAGGTGAATATGTTCAAGTGCATAGTGCATTGGAATATAAAAAAAATGCATGTGTAGATTTGCACATGTGGCATTAATTAATCAGAGTAAAAATATTCAGTTTCAGTTCAAAAATATAGTAAACGTTTATTAATACTGCACTTTTATGACTTTATCATACTTCAGTCATCAAGTTACTGATATAAAAACTTTAAATACTTCACTAAAGTGTACTGAAGGGTTATAGAATTAATTAATACATATTTAAATGCCATAGTTACCGAAGATGATATATGATTTAATTTATTGTAGTGGAAGTAATACATTGATTTGCACATGTGCAGTTTTTCATTTGTAAATTTCATATATTTATTTTACTTTAAATAATGTCTTTATATTGTTAAACATAATGAAAATTTGTAGAGGTTAAGGTTACTTTATTCAGTGATTTAAATATCAGTATTTATTAATCCTTGATAGATCTCCATGTGCATGTTACCTCAAACAAGGAAGTATAGTATATAATATCTGAAACCTGAATGATAATATTCTGGGCTTTATAAATGTCATTCTGTTATCAGTCTGGCTTACTCTGTAGATCACAAGTCATAAATTATTTATTTACTCATTTAATTTCCTCAAATGTATCTGAAGATAGGTTTTCACAAATGGAAATAAATATGTGGATTTTGATGACGGAGCATATTCAGTTGCTGTTGTTTTTGGTTGTTATAAGGACTCGATAGTCTTACTTGTTCATCATGAAGCTAGTGAACATTTATATAGCAACACAGCCCCAGAGTGTAACTGTTTTGTAACAAAATCTGTATTAGAAAATTTAAAATATGCCACTTGATAGTGATTCAGAGATAAGATGTATAACAATTTCTTTTATAAAATGTGATGCTGTTATACTACTTTCATGATACAGTGCATAAATGAAGATTTTGAAGGTTTTCCCATGAAATTCTAAGTAGACTCCACATGCGTCGTCTGTATTAAGGTTTCAGATATTCTTGCCTATTGTTCATGTTTTATTATTATAGAATTTAGGTGATTGTTGGTTACCATATGGGAATTTTATTATGGTTGT